CATTCTCTCTTATCAGAAGATGAAGAACCAACCACCGATATCACCGCCAAAACAACGACGCCAATTCCGTTGAAGCCGTCGTCGTCGTTGTTGTTGCCGTCTCCGTCACCGTCGTTGCAGATCTTAACAAAAGTCATAGAGACGATGATGATTTTGATAGCGATTCTGAGTTCGAATGCCCTGATTGCTACATCAGCGGCGAAAAGAGGTAAAATTGTCGATTAAAATCAGATTTTGATAGGTGGTGGTTCTGCTTTGATTGGTGGCTTTGTTTTGGTGATTTTGACCGTAGTACATGGTTCTGTTTTGATTGTTTGTATAAAAACCGTTAGAATATGGAAGTGGGGTGGTGATGGTGTGGTGTGGCGACGACGTGGTGACGATGAAGAGCAGATCTAGGGTTTTTTGGTGGATTGTGGCGGAAGACGGCGCAGAAAAAGAAATTCGCGCAGGCAGGGCCCTTAATCGACTACGTGTGGTTTAATCGAGTATGTACAATAGTCGATTAAGGTTTAATCGACTATGTTCAGTAGTCGATTAAGGTTAACCGACTCCAGTTGTTAATTTTTTTTTTGATTTTTTGTTTATTGATTCCAATGTATAAATGAATTACAATGTTTGTATATTTTTTTTAAATATAGTTGATTTTGCATTTTTTTTTTGAAATTGTGATTTGTTATTTTTAATAGTTAAATTTTTAATCGATTATGCATTAATAAACCTGATAGAGAAAAAAAATTAAAAACACCAAAAAAAATTAAAAACAAAATTAGAAAAAAGAATTAAAGAATTAAAGATTTTCCTTAATCGACTATAAAGCATAGTCGATTAAGGCTAATCGACTATGCCTTATAAAAAAAATCGCTGAGTGCTTGACCCAGTGATGATGTGGCGGGCGAGAGCAAAGCTGGAAAATATAATGGTTCAAAATGGGTGTGGGTTTTTCTCAAATGGACTGAAATATTTTGGATCTCTCTCCATTAAAAAAAGTAATGAGGGGGTTTTCTCAAGGAGCCCCTTTTTTTTAAGTGAACTAGGTGACGGGTATAAACCATCAACCGACCCATTCCGGAACCAAATATTCGGTTGCCAACCATCAACCAACCCACAAAGGGTCGGCAACGGTTTTAAAATTTGAGCAAAAATGGTTTGATGGATGGGTCGGTTTTTAGGCTGGTAATCGACCGACCCAGTCCCAGCCCTAGTGCTAAGTGTGACACTTGACTCATCTTTATATCGTCCTTCATAATACATCGATTTTTGAGTCGACTCGAACTCGTGTACTATCGGCCTCACTACTATAAGTCCAATTTTACATACTATCAGACATCATTAGTATAGACTCAAGCTTGCCTCAAGTATTTTTCGAGTTTTGGGTTTATATCGGGTCACATTATTATAGAACTTTAATTAGTAAAAAAAATTGGAAACGTTTTATATTCTCAAATTTCGATAATAAATTTCAGCAATCAAGTTTGGTGAGTATATTGCATTTGATTCATATTTTACTTATTGTCGCCACCACTTAATTCCTCTAATTTTTGACATTTTTTTTGCAAAATAAAATAATCTTATGCGTTTGCAAATCGTATGTTGAGTCATGTTATTAAAATAATAAATATATTATATATTTTATTATAAATATAATCGACCAGACCTCATTCGAGTTGATCCATAGTAAGCTCAAACGCGGCTCATAAATAAATCAAATTTAATAAAATAGCTCTAACATACTCTAAAAAATAAGCTCGTCTCATATATAATCTGGTCAAGCCTTCAGGCTTCCATTAAGCCAGACTCAATTGCATGTCCTACTACTACATATTATACCACCAATTTTGTAACATATAGTTAACAAACTACTTTAAAAAATTTAATTAAGAGTGTATGATACTTTTAAGTAGGTGGTGGGTAGTTTTGGTGACCAATAATTTTACCTTTTTCAGCATTGAAAAACTTTATATCAAAAAATTGTAACAAATAAATAACGAAGAAAAAAAAAATGAATACCTAAATAAAAAATGGCAGTAATTAATTTTGAAAACGATCTTTATATCGTCGACAAAATGCTCAACACTGGACTCAATTTTTTTCTTGACTTCTACACTTTAAAGTATGATAATGTGGTTCGTTTAGTTGACTAGCTTATTCCAAATCGTTGACTTCACCATGATTTTGCCTTGCAATTTCATTCATCTTTTGTTCATGTGCATCTTGTGACCTTGAAAACAATGCAAAATATCCCCCCCCCCCCCACACCCACCACCACATGTACAAATTAGGGTTCAAAATTCCAATATTCTATGTGTATGTAGATATGACCACGACTCGAATCGGATCGAATCTAGATCCGGACATGCTTATCGATCAAGTCAACTAGGGTAGAAATCGGACATGTCGAATCGAAATATGCCCTTTCAAAAAAGAAAATCTAATTTTTTTTTTCCTAAAGAAATAACTAATTCCAATTCTGTTATTTCGAAAATCGGAATTTCGTAATTGGTTTGAAAAACTTGCTCCAAAATCGAAAACCTTTGGATTGAAATCAATGTAGTTCGGAAATTCCAATATTTTTTTTAATCACCTACAACATTAAATATATAATAATATTGACACTATAAGCGTATTTTTTGGAAAATAATCTGGATTTCAGAATATAAATTGGGTCGGAGTAGGCGGTTTCAAACTGTAATAATAAATTTATGAGGGATATAATAATAAATTTATTATTAGCCTTGAATAATCTTACATTGCAATGAGTTTTTGAATTCTTTGTCGCTTACTTTGATTTACCTTTTTCCTTTATATTCATGATGAATTAAACACCCAAATTAGAATATTATTTTAAAACTTTTTACATTAAAATAAAAATTCCTTTAATAAACATTGAATAAATAGGTAAGTAGTTAGCAAATAATTGCTAAAAAGTATCTTGGAAGCATGTAGCCCACGCAAGATGAGTGCTTTGTTCATGCCGGGTGGAAATAATTGCTAAAAGTATCTTAGGGGCAAAAGGGACCATGCCACTCACCAAACATTGTCTAATCTCCAATCAAATATTTGGTCAATAAGAAGTTTGTTTAATCCTCGCAGTGAATTGCCGTTCAATATGGTGTGGAATTGAATTCCAGAACTTTCAGTACATTTGTTTGAGAAGGCGTCTCTTTTCCTAATCGGAAACTTAATTGGTTGTCAAATACAAGTAGATTCTTCCACCTTAAATCGATCTTGTATTTATTAATGCTCGGATATATTTGGAAATAAACGCGATGGAGGTTAGTTAGGAAGAGATTTCACTTCTTATGACAATTTCAAGTTGGATATACGTACATCTCGATCAAAATCAAGAATCCTAGTGCCTACTCGTTTCTCAATCTGTTCCTAGGAGATTCACTAGATTAACGACCAACTTATTTTAATTGTATCCCATGTTTGATGTTTTCGCAGTTTTCGGTGTTCTGGTGTAAATCTTCTTATTTAATGAAATAAACGACACATTTTATTTATTTAATGTAAATGATCTCTCTCTCTCTCTCTCTATCTCTCTCTCTCTCTCTCTCTCTCTATATATATATATATATATATATATATATATATGGGCATAAAATGGCTAATGGGCTTATACACAAGTAGACAGCACATATGGGCTCATTAGTGCAGATTGGGTGGGTGCTATTTCGGCCCAAAATTACTTTCATGAATACAATAATTCATAATCAAATATTAGTGAACTAATCAAAGACATCAGATATTCATTTAAGTTTTCTGCTATTAAAATAAAATAATTGCAATATGATTTTTACTATTACACATACTAAAAGCATGTGACTACTTCAATTTGATCAAATTGTTGTTGATTTCTTTTATTTAACAATAAATGTGGGCTTATAAATAAAAATATATCTTATCAAAATGTTGTATAATTATTTTACTTGGACTTATTTAATAGACTTGATTGACTTTGATGTATTACTAATCAATATAGATTTTCAACTGGTAGGTAGTTTAAGTTTGAAGTCCAATATTGTGCAAGAATCCGATTATTTATTTTATTCAATAATTTATTTTATACTTGAGCTATAGATCTATAATTCATTATAATATTTTATTATACAATCATGTATCACCTTTCTCTTACCAAATCAAACAAAATATTTTTATGCATACATTATTCTATATGATTGATATTTAATTAATAGTGACCTTTCATTTGTCCCACTACCAGATGTCCCTTGTCACGGTTATCACCATTATCGGTTGAGTACACACGGGATCGTGCCAGCATAGAGTTAAGGGGCCATGGCCCCTCTAATAATTTTCGTTTTTTTATTATTATATATAGAAAAATATTTGCATACAATGTTTTTTTTTAATAAATTCGGTCCCGGGTTTAAAATCCTAGTTCCGCAACTATGAGTACACACTTTCAATTTGTTGTGTTTTGAATTATTATCAAATGAGCATTTGATGGTTCAGATCGATATTTGCATAATCAATATCATCGAATAAATAATTTTATTTATATTTGTAATTTGTCATACGAGAAGCAGAATTACAGTTGAGTATTTGTATGAAGCTCTCTTGGCTTCAACCATCACCAAATAAATTCTTTAGTTATGTTACAGTCCAACAATAAATCATAGAATAATAGACTTTTTCCAATGTTATTTTATTACCAACATGCAAGAATTTTAATTTGAATAAATTGTGGGAGATAAATATTTAAAAAAAAAAAAAAAAAAAAAAAAAAGAAACAAACTTCAAATTATTTCTGTAGAAATAAAATAAATAAATAAAAACTGGGTGAGGTGAAAGGGAAAGAAAATGAGAAATAACAGAAAAAACAGCTCCACGTCACCCCCTCAACCAATCGGCATCGTCTATTACATAAATGCGGGGCCCACAAAACTATCTGACGGCAGCAAGCCTGTTGCCTCTGGGTCCCACCCCGACTCCAACGGCTATATAATAATAATAATAAAAAAAAAAATCCCATCTCTGCAATTATACTAGCCATCTCTACTGTGCTGATCACTGATTGGTTTTCGTCGGAGAAAAAAATTAAAAAATAAATAAATAATGGCTCGGTTTTTTCTGCTGCTCGTCGGGGTTCTGATTGCCTGCGTCGCCGGAGCACGAGCCGGATCGGAAATCCTCGCCGAGGATGTTAATCCGATCAGGCAAGTCGTCGACGGTCTGCACGCGCTCGAAACTTCCGTTCTGAAAATCGTCGGCAACTCGCGACGCGCCTTCTCCTTCGCCCGATTTGCTCACAGGTCATTTATTTCTGCTTCCTTTTCCCCAATTTCGGATATTCCATTTTCTTATTTTACTTGGTCCGACTGAATTATTTATTTATATTTTCTCTGAAAAAAAAAAGGTATCGGAAAAGCTACGAGGATGCAGAGGAGATACAGAGGAGATTCGGAATCTTCTCGGAGAATTTGAGGATGATCAGATCTCACAACAAAAAAGGACTATCCTACACTATGGGAGTTAATGGTAAATTCACCCTTCAAAAATATTTCTTCTTCAATCATCTATTACTGTGAGGGTTTTGGTGCAATATTGTACTCATTCATGTTAGTAGCTATAGCCTATAGCTAGTATTCCATGATCTATCACACACTTTTGTCTTGTGTGGGTTGACTTTTCTGAGGTTTCATGTTAGATCAACCATGTCTCTTGAAGCTGTTCAGTTTGTACATGTGTCGAACTGCCGATATTTTAGCTAATCGGCTGCTCGATACTCGACTTTTTTATTTACTTTGCTGCTCCATTGTCGCAATTATTTTTGATTTTAGTTGTGCATTTATATTACATGCATAGTAGTGAACTAGTTTATCAGAGTCGATTTTTCTTCTATGTCGTGCTGCATTTGAATAAGTTATCGATCTCCCGACCAATTTAAAGACATCAAATCTATGTATATGTCGTCTTTCAATATCGATTCCGTTTCCGTTTATTGACAATTGGTCGTATAAATGAAAAAAAAAACAGAGTTCACTGACATGACATGGGAGGAGTTTCGTAAGCATATGTTAGGTGCCGCTCAAAATTGCTCTGCTACCACTAAAGGCAATCATAAGCTCACCGATGTCGCCCTTCCAGAATCGGTACTCGTTTTATTTATTTTTTGCTGCTTAATATGTCAAAGCTTGTTTTCTACAGTTTATTTTCCATTTAATCGATAATCCGCTCTTAGGATTTAACGAGCCAAAATATTGTTCCATTTCACTACTAGCAATTTGACTTTGGATGATTGCAGAAAGACTGGAGGGAAACCGATATTGTGAGCCCGGTGAAAAATCAAGGTCATTGTGGATCTTGCTGGACATTCAGGTAATTATTAGAGATCGATTTTTTTCGTTTCTTAGTGGAGATCAAGATCATGTCTAATGTATGCGATGTTTTTACAGCACAACTGGAGCATTAGAAGCAGCTTACGCACAAGCATTCGGTAAGGGTATATCTCTGTCTGAACAGCAGCTCGTTGATTGTGCTGGAGCTTTCAACAACTTTGGCTGCAATGGTGGCTTGCCCTCACAAGCCTACGAATACATCAAATTTAACGGCGGGCTCGATACAGAGGATGCATATCCATATACTGCAAAGAACGGTGAATGCAAATATTCGTCTGAGAATGTTGGTGTGCGAGTACTTGACTCTGTCAATATCACCATGGTAAGATTCTTTGACCGATTTTATTTTTGTTCTAATTTAGCTTATTATAACATTGTTCGTATTTTCTGACATGTTTTAATGAAATCAAGTATAGGGTGCTGAAGATGAACTCAAGCATGCGGTAGCATTTGCTCGGCCTGTGAGTGTGGCTTTCGAGGTGGTTAGTGGATTTCGAGCGTACAAAAGTGGGGTCTACACCAGCACTACTTGTGGAAACTCTCCAATGGTAAATTTTTCGACATATTATATTACTACAGCTAGATGAAGTGGGGCCCACTAACTCAAAAGACGATCCTTTCGCATTTGCAGGATGTAAATCATGCTGTTCTTGCCGTTGGTTATGGAGTGGAAAACGGAGTACCGTATTGGCTGATCAAGAATTCGTGGGGGGCTGATTGGGGTGACAGTGGGTATTTCAAAATGGAGATGGGCAAGAACATGTGTGGTGAGTTTTATTTATATTTAACAACTAATCATTACAAAAGTCGGTAATTTTTTTCGTTCAGTGTCGACAAAAATAATTTTCTGGTTGTAAACTTACGGTGTATGATCGATCTTACAGGTGTTTCGACATGTGCATCGTACCCTGTAGTTGCATAGGTGTCGATTATCTTGAAGAAAAAATAAGCGAGTCTGTACGAGGAATTAATAAATGGTGAGAAGCCCCATCGTTCGAGTTCCAAACGCACCAGTTGTATAGGATTGATTATCTCTGCAAGAGGCATGTTTATATTCAAGTTTAATTTAAAAGGTGATATATACTGTGCATGAGAATTTATGTACACCTTAAAAAGAATTTGTAAATTAGCTTATGATGATTTATGTATGATGTTATTTACTGGAAAACAGAATATGAAAATAAACGAATATATTATGCACGTGCATTCTAATTTTCAACGAACATTTTGATATTCGAAAGTTGATGAAATTCCCTATATTTGACGCGAGTTCGCTTGAAGTGCACTGAGTAAAAGTGTTGACAAGATAGTTCGAACTCGGACTCGAACAAATAACACTGCGCTATTTTATTCCACCAATTAGATCACCATTACGGGACATATTATCTCTTTATGTATCGATCGGTTGGTAAAATGACAAGTTTCTTATATTAGATCTACTATTAATAGTTGATCCAGGCCTTAAATAGTAAATACCTCCAACAAAATAGCCCAATAAGACGAAATCCCCGAACCACGATAGCCCAACGAGACGAGCGTGCCAGCCCAACAAGGAATATGTCATCATTAGTTGCCGAGCATGTCGCGCTCGGATAGCCCTCCCAAATTGGGAATTTCGGTGCCGTGGCAAGCATATTTATTGCCCCGGCAAGTGCAGTTAATGATTGGTCACAATGCTAACTCCGGCCTCAGTTCGATTTCTCACCTTTTGTGGATTGGCATGAGCTCTCGGAAACCGCTTCCGAGTCGAAGACCTCTCAAAGGGACCCCACCCCGTTAACCGTGTTCACCGGACGGTTGATCTAAACATTATTTTTTGTTTTCATAATATCCATAAATTGAGAAATGATTTTAATTTATATTATTTCAGAGATAAAATCTTTTTTCTCCTTTTGATAATCACGACTACCAAGGGCCCTTTTGGTTCGGTAGTTTGGATAGATAGCTATTGATGGGATACGTAATACGGGACTAAATTGTTGATTCACAGTGATTAATACTTCCTTTGGTTTGAGTTATACACCCGAGACAAATAATCCCTGACAAAAAAAAAACATGTTTTGTTCGGCTGACTTTAGGGATTATTGTGTGTTAATTAGTTAAATTACTGCATTGCCCCTGAAATATCTTATTTTAATTCATCTTCTTCATCTTCTTTATTTCAAAGAAGTTCCCCCTTTTTTAAAAACCGATGAATCTCTCTCCACACCTTATCTTCCGATCTTGTTTTTTTTTTTCTGCCATAAACCTTGTTCATCAACTGTTTGCCGTTGTATTCTAGTTTGTTCTCATGAGCGCTAGGAGTACTACTTCGCGACGGAGTTCGACCATTAAGAATGGGGGGGTTTTCGATTCAACTGGGCAGCAAGGAGATCTATGTCAATGCGGAAACCAACTACGCATACACACTTCTTGGACCTCGGCTAACCCAGGGCGCCGTTTTAAGTGTTGCGCAAACCGGGTATGAACGGGTTGAGGTTCATGTAATTTGATGTTTATTATTGTTTTTGGAGTCATTGTTCGTTGAACCGTTTGTTGATTTCGTTTGGATTTGTGTTTCTGAGTGTCAAACGCATGTTTACCCATTGATGTGTCGGACCAACGGTGTTAATGTTGACTGATTTTTTTTCCAATTTCATATTTTTTTCTAATTTTACGATACTCCCCCTGCAGATCGGACTTGATAAATACATGTTCTTGCTGCAATTTAAATGCAATATAAAACTCTGTAAATGGGTCAAATTTTTTGAGATGCTGTGCTGATGCAAACTGTGTTTCATCAATTGGTTTGGGTAGTTGAAAGTTTGCATTTTTGTAAAACATGTAATAACTTAATGTGGGAATTTAGATGTATTGCAATTTCATGGTGTAGGTACATGGTTGCCAAGCTTTCTATTGGTATGATCCGGCAATGTGCGAGCGATCGAAAAGCATCATTCCTGGCCTGATAAAGAAAATTAATGCCCTTGAGTCCCAAATACCATTGGAGGTTCCCGTGTTGGTACAGAAAATAGCTGATTTGGAGAATCAATTGGCCTCAGGGGCAGGTGAGGCGAGGCGACCCTCAAACTCTTACCTGCGTTGTGGAATTAGTGTAGTTTCAGTTATTTCTGTTGTTATTGTGTTGTTTTTTTTGGTGTAGACAATGCTGCAATATGATGTACTAAATTTGGATCTTTGTGAATTGTTTGGTCCTTGTAAAACGTAACAATCTTCATATTTATTAACGTTGTTTTGGGCTGTAGATATTGTATGTTGCATTATTTGCTCGATTCATTAATTAAGTAAATCTTGGCAGTTGAGGAACGTAAGTTTGAAACAGTTGGAGACATGTAATATCTGTGCGGTTTATGCATACGAAATGTTTATGAGATAGGTATTTACGGAAACAATTGATGTCAACGTTCAATGATGTATAGTATTTTTTTAGAAATAGAGATTATTCAAATCCACATATAATCATAGTTATACACATAACTAAACCAAATTGGGAACTTAGAAAATTAGGGAACACGGGCCCTTCAATATGTTCGATACAACACCCGAAAGTAGTTACCAATACGAGTGTTTTAACATGAACATAATGACGTTAAACAACAAAACAAAACTACATTACACCACAATTACTGAACACAAACAAAACAAAACAACATACGAGTCTTTGAACAAAACATCAAACACAAACGAGTCTTTAAAAAAGTACGGAAATGGACAAACAAACTTTTAAACACCGTCGGAGTCATTTGCTTCCTCAATTTCGTCACTGAAACTGACGGCTGGTTCGTAACCCTCGTTCCGAGCCTCTTCATTCGCATTGTTGTTGTTAGCAACGTTCACACGACCTTCGTTTCGGATTCGATCGTACAGATCGTCTAAGTAGATCGCATAGTGGGGATCCACAACTTGGGGTGGATTTGGCTGAGGAGCAACAACCTGAGGAGCAACAACTCCATCATCATCCACTTCATCGCCGATGACGAGGGGAAGTTCTGGATCATATCCCACGAGCCCGCGAAACTTGACTTCTGGGGCCTGTTTCACGTCAAACACGAAGTGGCAATCTTCGTACAATGGAAAGCGGTTGATTCTAAATGTCCTCTCTTCCTCCGTCTCCTACACATCAAAACCATCGAATAAAACGATCGAGTACTAATAAAAAATATTACAATTCACAAAATAAGATTTTTACATATTGAAGAAATGTACAACAAAGGCCTGTCATAAACCACAAACCACAAAATTCCATATGCGGAATTCGAAAACATATGATAAGTCCACATACACTTTCATCTACCAACACACGGTAATTACAACAATCATCGAAACGAAATAAAAATCCATAAAAGTCCACATACACTTTCATGTACTAACACTCTCATAATGTTCATGTTTTATTTGATAGCATTTATTTTGTCAATAGGAGTTGCATGCATTCAAATCAGTTAAAAAAAAAGACAGACGATACGAGAACAGTTAAAAAAACGAAAAACGTTTCGTATTACCTTTCGATCCAGTGGCCACATGCTCCTGTCCACCGTCAACGATCCCGTTCGAACATCGTAGGTTACTACGTCCTGTGCAATGTAATCTTTGAAGGCAAAGTACCGGTTCCTAAGCCTGTTCATCCTACACTTCGTAGCAATGTCGTCGAAGTTACGTGCGAATTGGAAGCACAAAGTGATGTAGACTTCGAACAAGCATTCTTCGTACACCTCGGGGTCCTCCAATGTTTCAACCTCCGAAGCAAATGTTGCAGCCGCATCGATCATACACTCGTCGTACTCGTACGGCCAACCGGCATTGTTAATTCTTTCCAAGCTACGTTGATTCCTTGTTCGAGGCCTCGACATGGTACCTACAACAATGGAATAACAAACACAACTTCAAAACATTGAACTGTATTAACAATATTTAGAACGCAGATTTTCGATAACGAAATAATGAAAATGGAATGACAAGATCTTAACAGTTGCTTCTGAAATGTGGAGGGTTTTTTTTTTCCTTTTGATATTCCTTTGCAGCAGAATATGAAGAATTTAGGTCACACTCTTACTTATTTTCACAACAAATTTCGAATTTATTTCCTCATTAAATGGTGCTCCAATTGGTCAACCTACTCACCAACTACTATGCATTAAATGGACCACTTCATTGCAGCCATTAAGACTTGGACGGCTACTTCTCTCAAATGTATCACACTTAATTCTATTCATCATTGTTTATTGAACCATGTAAATGGTGGTAAATGATGGTAGATGTGAACATCATTCAATGCTGTTGTAAGAAAGATTGATGTATGCTTGCACACATTAATGAAGGTTGCCTAGGGTTTCGTTGTGTTTATTACTCCATTTCATTTGTTATGTTTATTACTCCATTTCATTTGTTGAACACGGTTCATTTAATAATATTACGGCCGGTTGTATATGTAGTTGACATGTTCTTTTTACATTTTGTCAGAGTGAGTGCACTATATTTTCTGTCAACATTCTTGTCAGCCATTAATTGAACAAGAAATATAACCGATACCTACAATCATTAATTATTGTTTATTTATTTTTCATTAGGTATGGTTCCATTATTTGTATAAATTTGGGTTGTGTAGGAGCCAATGTGAAGTGTGGCTGCAGCAAATCATTACCAACACACTAATACAGTAGAAAACCATGGCCCCAAAGAAGAAGCCCATTTTTAGGCGCGAAGATTTTATGTACGAGTTGGACTGGAGTGAGAAGATCGATGATTATTTCGTTGATCTGTTGTGCATGGAATCGTTACGGGGCTGTTTCAAACGTGACGGGAAAAATACGCTTGCCCTATTCAGTTGTCAAGAAGGTATTCAAACTAAATTCAACTTGTTCTTCTCTTACAAGCACTTGATGAAAAAGATGACGTTGCTACGCAAAAGGTTCACCACCTTTCACTGGATTCTAGCTCAAGAAGGTGTTCGCTACAATTCTACAACCAACATCGTTTCAGCATCCTCCGAGATTTGGGATCATATTTTGAAGGTTTTCATAAGCGTGGCTAAAAATAATTCTACTATTTTATTGTGTCTTTCATGTTTACATTTTACTTAGTTAGTTATTGAACCTAAATAAATTTGATTATTTCACGAATATGCAGACTAGTAAGTTTGCATTTTTTTACCGCCACGCCGGGGAGCCCAAGTACAATGCATTAAAGTGCATTTTCGGAGCAGAGCCTGTGCAAAACCCGAATGAGGCTGAAGAATCTATTGTGGTGGTATCGGACGACGATGAAGCACAACCTCAAACAGGTGAAGGATCTGGTTTTCCAAACCATGCTATGCATGAGGATCGTCTAGGGCTAAACGCTCAGGCTTTTGAGATGCTTGCCGAGCAAGAATTTGCTTACCCAAACAGTAACGACCCACATACCGTAATAAATATTTCATCGAGTTCTTCCGAGAACAATGATTTCGACATGCTCAACCATCTTAACTATGTGTCTGATTCTGAAGGATCAAGGGACACCGAGGTTAGCACGGCAAACTCCCACTATACCGACACTTTCGACGATCTTCGGGGAAGCTCTATTTTACGGTCTAAAACGGGAAGCATGAGGAAATTCAAACCTTTTGGAACTCCTAAGAGCTCAACGGCTTCAAACAAGCCTACTACAGTTGAGTTCTTAACCCCAACAAACAATTAAGTTGTTCTAGGTCTGCCCTCAAGTTTAAGTAGTAGACGTTTTGTGCATTAGAATCTACGGTGTGATTTATGCATTGTTATTTGTATAATTAATATGTACTGCACGTTATATATAACGTGTGTAGTCAGGCTATAATATATATATATATCTATGTATTATATTTTTGTATGCTAATTATGGAAGTATCAACTAAACGAACGGATGTTAAGAATCTTTTGTCTAAGTAATTTGTAATGTTGATAAATTGTGTATGATTTGTTACTGATGTATTCATTATTTTAATTTGTAATTTGGCATTTAGTAACTAAACATCAATTGGTAAGCAAATTATGGCAATACTAGATAACTAAACATCAATTGGTAAGTAAATTATGGCACGAAAACATATTTATAGTTAAACAAAATTAATAGAAACCTAATATAAATTTGTTCTCGAAATACCATTGTTTACTAAAGCACATTATAATATGAAATGTAACAACCTCGTTCGTAGATTATAATTAAACATCAACAGTTGAGAAAATCTGAAAAGAGTACACTTCGTGAATGTGTTACTAGTAAACGCCCGTCCAATATCAATTGCACCATATTTGCCTTGTGATCATCACTCAAGCAAAAGAATATATCAAGATCTTTGGGGTTATCGCAAATGCGAGAAGTTGCTTTAAGCCTCTCCTCAAAGGTAAGGTGTTGCATGTTGGCTAGTGCGTCAAAAACTTGCTTCCTAGCAGCCGACACATCTTTCTCGAACCCCATGCGACTCACTAATTCAGCCATTTGTGCCTCCATTTTCTCGAAGAATTTTGAAGCCATCTCGGCGTAACCACCATCGTTGGGGTCACTACGTGATCGCTTTTTAGTCTTTGATTTACTCTTTGTGGAGGTTGCTTCATCAGCCCGGCTGAAGGACATGTATTGAGAGTAACTGTCTGCATTTGACGGATCCAGCTGAGGAACTTCGTCATCATCGTTGGACATGTGTTCTTTCCCTTTGTTGGAGTTTGAAACCAAATCATTAATGGCCTCAGTGAATGCTTCAGCATGCTCCCCCGTGGCACGATCCTTACCGAATATTTGAGTCCAATCCTTGTAAAACGGCCATGATTTGTACCGCATGGAACGGGCGTTAACATCGGTCTACGTGCAAACACGGAGCAGCAGCATCAAGAAGTTTAGAGAATTATGAAAAAATTCCAAATTCGAAGAATGGATATGAATTTAGTATGACAAAAGAATACCTTAATGTAATCTTGCCACACTTGGTCATCAACGACGTCAATGGTATTGTTTGAGTCGTTCCAACCAAAGCCGGACCTTGACAACATGGTGCTTAATGCTCCATAATGTTTTTTCCACACATGTATCTTCGAATGGATGTGGGGAGAGGCCTTAAGATCGGTTCCGGGAATTATTTTTGAACCATATATTGTTCAAGGGTACCTAAATAACCAGTTTTAAAGCCATTTTCGCATTTCCAACCTCTTGACACAATATCTTTCAAACCTAAAATTAACGTTTGCTCTTCGAGGACTGTCCAACAGCGCCTGCTGTTGGAGACACAGTTTTTGCTTGAATTGCATTTTTTCGGAGCACCAGTACTTTCCGTATTACCTGAATTAAATGCAAATTAAAACAGCCATTGTAACTACATAAATAATGTTCACATCACAATACGTACAAATGGGAACAATAAAGCATTACAAATGCAAGACACATTAGTATCCATGTTGCAATCGTAAATTCAAACAATGAAATACATTTAAAGTACGGAATTTATTGTTATTTTTAAATTTATACTATCGAGACGATAACCACTGATTGTACATGTTAATCGCAATTGTATCTCGTCAGTTCGTCCACTCCTCCGAAGTCTCAACAGTATTGATGTAATCCTCGCCGTTAATAATGCCTGGATTTTTCCTCAAAAATTCGTCTAAAGTTTCCTCCTCTGGATCAAAGTCGTTGGTCGTGCGTATAAAATTATGTAGGAGACAACACGCCATTACGATCCTATTTTGAACCTTGATGGGATAATATGCTGGACTACGTAATATGGCCCATCGTGACTTCAAAAGGCCAAAAGCCCGCTCGATGATGTTTCTTGCCTTGGCATGTTTCATGTTAAAAAATTCTCTAAAATTCCTAGGTGCGGTTGGACCGTTTGCATATGCATCGAGGTGGTATCTACAACCTCTGTACGGTGCCAAAAAACCTTCCCCGTTCGTATAACCGTTGTCAACCAAGTAGTAGTTACCTGTAAAGGTGAATGATTTACTAAAGTTGGAATCAACTACAGTGCGGATCCTACATTCTGGCACTATGTTAACTATTTAACTTTATTTGGTACTCTACCAACTAATACTTACCCGTGGGGACTCGAAGACCATTGTCTCGGGTTACTGCATCACGAAGTATTCTACTATCGGCTGCAGACCCTTCCCAACCCGTAAGTAGGTATATAAAATTCATGTTATCATCACAAACAGCTAGAACATTGATCGACACATTGCCCTTGCGATTCCTGTATCTTGGTTTATCAAGATAAGGAACCCGGCACCCTATGTACGTCCCATCTAGTGCACCGAGACATCCCTAATAAATAATCACCGTAATAATGTAGTTATTTAAACAAATAACAGCTGTGTAAGACAACATTGACATAATATATTTTATTATGTTACCTTGAAATGCGAAAAGCGCTCATTTTCACAAAGTTCGTCGACGGGTTTTGGTGTAATCAGTAGCATTTCGTGTAACTTAAGTAAGGCCAGTAGAACGCTGTTAAAGTGTTTGCTTACCGTGTACCCAGATCTGTTAAAATGACTCCGAACAACAACGTTTTTTGTGTGATGGGCTAAAATTTGAAGAAACATTGCGACTTGCTCTGGTATAGACACATTTCTATTTTCTTTAAGACCGCCCACATTTTCTAAAATATAACACAGCCGGTAAAAGGACTGTATGTTCATTCTAAGATTATCACGACATGTTACATCGTTCAACCCAACTAAGGAACGCAAGTAGTCAAGGTGTGAAGGTGTTCGTCCTATTAAACTGTAAGTTTGGGTGTTATTTTGAGAGCAAGACAACTGACGACGATTTTTTTTACTAAATATGTGAACGGACATCAAGAAAAACAGCCGAAGATTAAACATGAGTTGATGTAAAACAACAACATCTTCTTCCTTTTTTGAAAAATCCATCGCAGTCCCACAATTTCCTACATTGAGAGCAATACCTCATATTATTCGCGTATTCAGTACATACATATTGTGTGCACAATCTCCGGTTTATTTAGTATGGTGTAAGAACATAACTGATAGTCGTTCAGTGGTCACCTATGTTAGTAGGTGCATAATTTATATTATACATTTATAAACATCTTAAATAAGCTACATTAAACGGCTTGTGCTGAACAAGTAAAAAACATTTGGCATATATTCAGCCTGTGAAATCAAACCTGGTTTTTCGTATTAATAGCGAAGCAAATACCTGTGGATAATGGCAGTTAACTGAAGCAGTAATGGTTGCGATGGTGGATTGAATCTGTTGTGCTTCTCAATGCCGAATAAGAAACGTTACTGACAAGGTTGAAAAATAAGGAGTCAACAGATATAGATATATATATATATATATAATTATATATATATATATATATATATATATATATATATATATATATATATATATATATATATATATATATATATATATATATATATATATATATATATATATATATATATATATATATATATCTTAAATTACAACAAAGAAATAATTGGGTATAATTATTAAAAAAAAAAAAAAAACAATTGGGCATTGTAATGCTCTGTTGGTGAGGAGTTCTTGCAATAAACAGAGCCCTAAATTTCTCATTTCAAACTCTACAGAATTAAACTAAGATTTAAAATTTAAAGACAAAGAGGAACCTGCCACAATGACGGTCACCGGAAAGCTTCAAAACTTCGAAGGGGGGTTCCTCGTCGGACCCGTCTTCCTCTTCGAATCTATCTGCCAAAGTACAAACAATTAGTGGGCATTTGAAGAAGTTATTGAACGGATTAACAACTAAAACAAATAACAAATCTAAAAAATTGCAAATACGGTGTAAGATCTGATTTCTCACCTGGGACGATTTCACACCTGAGAACCTAGGGATGCATCTAAGAGGGGAAGAAGCTGATTTTGTGAGTTTATATATTGATTTTTTTCGTAATTTACGAAATAATGAGGGACATTTTCGTCAATTCACATCGGGCAGAAAGTGGGATTGTATAAATGATATACTATCAAGTCAAAATTGGGTGGATAATTAATAATTCAATTGGTTGATTAAAATGGTGGGGCCAGTAGTCAAGGACGGCAAATCAACCGAACCAAACATGATACCCGGGAGTACAATTCATCCCATCCCTGCTAATAATGCAAACCAAAGATGCCCTAGTTAATTGTCTGAGTGTGACCACTGACTACTACTATTTTTTTTAATAAATGAAAAACTAATAAAAGAATATTTTATATTTTACGTACACGGTACTCCATTGTGATTGAAATCCAAATTATTTTTTGATTAAAGATATAAAATGAAATATTTCCAAAATTAACTCAATTTCGACATTCGCTAATCACTGTTTGTAAGAGGGAAAACCGCAAACAGAAGTGTATCACAGAGAAATTGAGCTTCAAATCCAGACGAAGCGCCGGTGGCGAAAACCATGAATTTTAGATAAACAAGTCGGGAAAGGAAATCTCTCGTTCATATATGTCAACTGACCGGCACAATTCTTCGTTCGGTGCATCTCCAGATGAAACCAACCTGTAAGTATTCCTCTCTTCAGCGGTCGTATATTCGCGGAATTGTGTGTTTTATATTGCAATTTCGTGTTAATATTCTGTGATTTTTGTTTTCCGCACTGGATTCGTTTAGTTTGCTGGAGTTGAGTTGATGAATTGTACCTTAATTGGATCCTGTCGAGAATATGTTGCTGTTTTACCTGGAAATTGATGTTTCTCAAGCGTTTATAGGATTTTTTGTTGAATTATAGTATACAAATGATAATTGTGCTTTCCTAGATATATGTATGTATCTATCTAACTATGGGCAGCAAGTGTGCTTGTTTAAGAAAATCTAACCTGGATTCAACTAAATTTAGTTCAGTTGTAGTGATACATTGAAAAATCTACTAAAATTTCAACTCGTTGCAGAAAAAAATGTCAAGTTCCTAAAAAATGCTTTACATCTCAGAAAGCCAAGAGTTCTCGAAATGTCGAAGTTTTTGGGGAACTTGATGTATACTGTTAGATCATGTCATGCTCATTTATCTCGAACTTTTGTTTTTTACTCTAGTTTGTTTACCTTGTGCACAACCGTATGTAGAAATATCCTTTGGAAGGGCAGGAAAAGTCTCTCCTATTTTATGGCACAGTGAATCAGTGTTTAGTCTCCGTTTCTTATCATGATTTGTGAACTGCTGTGTAGGTTCCTTGACATACTGCAAGAGGCTCCTTTGTTTGGTCATCGGAAGCGAACAAGGGTCATCGGGAGTGTCCTTTATTGTCTTTTATTGGCAAGTTTTCTTTCTTAATTGCATCATTTGGGCATGATTATGATAGCAGTATAATTTGATGAAAGCTGATTTTTATTCAACTCTAGGCAGGTTATGCTGTTTTAGCTGTGGGAGCTACATGGATACTTCATTCCTTTCAAGAATTACATGTTCTGCTACTCTGTAGCTCTGATGTTATTCTTTTGGTTGCCACAGGTCCTTTATGAAACTTTTTAATCTTTGTTGCATCTTCCACATTCTTTCTTTATTTGAGTCTGGACCTATGTATTTGTTTAAATTGTAATTGTGTGTGACCTTGGGTGAGACTTTTGTGCAGATATATCTTAATAAATCCATTGTGTTGTTATGTTTATTAATTTGCATACTGCTGTATTTTTGTTTCGGGTTTATATTTTCGCGTAGATGATGAATATAATTTCAAGATTTCGAGGGTTGATTTGATTTTGCTCCTTTAAACTAACACTCAATTTGAAATTACGTCCATTTTTTTCCCATTGCATCACCTACCCCACCCCAATAGTTGTTCGTCGCGATTCTATTATTATTTTTAATAATAAATAGTCTACCCTTGTTTGTTCCTTGGTAAAAAATTGTCCACATTATTTTACTTTAAGATGCATGAACTGCAATTTTTTGACATTACGTAACTCTAACCTAAATTGTTTTGACAAAAATAGATTATGGCTTAATGAAAATTCTATGTGCGATGAGTTGGTTTGCTTGAGTTTAAGTATCATAGAAGGAGCGTTGGTTGAAAATGGTTATGTGTATACACAATGGTGTTGTATTTCCTGGAACAAACTAGTATCAATTTATATAGAACTCTGATAGCAATTTGTATATTCTTTTGAATTTAGAAGGACTCTAATTTTTATATGATCCTTGAACCCATTACACTTAACATTGGTGAACACATATAGATAGAACTATGTATTACTCTTTTATGTGTTGCCATCTGGAATTTCATGAAATGTTATTTTTCTTAAAGATAGTTTCTCACACTTACAGGTATATTTCAACAATATCTGGTTTACCAAGTCCAGAAAATACGCCTTCAGGTATTTAGTTACCATCTTTTCAATGGATTATGTTATTATCCTCGTAGCTCTCGATGGATTATGTTATTGTCCTCGTAGCTGTCAAGGAGTCTTTGTTAATCTATTTATGTTAGCTAAAGTTAAATTGTTTTTCGCCTAAAGTACTGTGGGGATAACAAAAGGAATATATGATAGGAGGGAATTTATGTTATTATCCTAGTACCACGGATATCCTTTTGTTTTTATTGAAGCCAGATTTCATGTTTTAAGAACTGTATGAAACTAAAGTGAGCTGTCTGTGGTATTAAGGCACCTGCAAAGTAAATAGTTGAAGTCTGCCAATTAGTTTAAACATCAGGATGTGAAGTATTGTCAGGGCTTAGCGAGGAAAACCATTTACTATCTTTCAATCTGCATGTTTCTGACTTACTGTGTTCATCATTTTCTAGATTTATGCTGTAAACATGATATGCACTTATTGATTTTGTAGGGCTATTATGGTTTCAGCCAAAAATTGAAGCATATAATTCGTCTACCTTTTGCTACTATTGGATATGGTATGCATTTTTCCCTGCTCGTGGATGTTCACATAGATTACTAAATTTTCACTCAATCATCTTAAAGTTGATATTAAAGAGTACCAGGTGACCAATATTTTCATTGGTTATTTTGCATCCTAATATTAATACTCCTTTTTGGAATATGTCCTTATAGTATTCAAGAGGAATCTTGTAAATTTCATGCTTGTCTGTGTAAATAATATTGGAACTAATCTCTCTCTGCAGAATTCTTCTTTAATTCTTGACATTAATAACGCTTTTAAGTTCGTTTGCCCTTCCTAGACATGTTCGCCTTCTAACAAGAATTGAAACTATCTTTAGTTTTTGTTATGAGAATGTTTGGTTTTATAATGGTTGATTTAGTATAATTTTTCGGAGAGCTTGTATTTTGTTTTATTTTTTATGGAGACCTTTTTGTGAACTCAATTACTAGCTTTTCTCCGAAGATGGAAGGTTCTAATAGACCCCTTAGTTTTGTGATTGGTCCATTACATTTGTTTTGACCTTATAGAAAGTATCTTGATTCTGGTTGACTAAGGTCTATCTCGGTATCCTATTCATAGAACTGAGATGTTGTTTGGAATGGCTTTCCACAGTTGAGTAGTGTGTAGATCTGGATGGTATGCTATTAAAGTTATCATTGTCCATTTTCATATTAGTCTACTATGTTTTGCATCCAATATCATGCTAGATCCATGGTTTTAAAGTTTCAAGTTGCCTCTTGCTAACTCTGTTCTTGCTTTCTGCTTGTGTTTTTAACTTTTTTCTAGAGACTCAAAAGTTTATGGAATTCAGTGAATTAAGATTATCTGACTTACTTTACTGCAGGAACCGCTGCAATGCTACTTGTCATGGCCTGGAAACCCCATATCAGTATTCTGTCGATTTCTATGCTTCTCAGGTCAACTTACTCAAATTCTAAACTTGATTGATATATACAGTGCAAGAATTGGCATAGCTTGACCAATGGAGCATTATTTATCCTAGTGATCTAGTTCTACAGAGTTTTCCCCGCCGTACACTAAAAGAAAATCTTTTGTATCCGTACAAGTAATCTGTTACTTTAGTTTTGGATAAATCATCTGCCACTCTACGTACATTTTTATTCGGAGATCAATGGGTAGAAACTGATAATGTTGTGTCAGTCTTAAGTTCCAAAGATATATAAACTTCATGTCAAATTTGTGCAGAGTTTTCTATGCAGAATTTGTTGACGACTCTGCCTTCTTTTACATAATTCAACACAGTCAAAACATTCTTAAATGTAATTTTTAAAAGAACTTCTGCGAATTTTACACTCATGCCCATCATGTTTCTGCAATACAAATGGTAGTTAAGCTTAGACTCCTGCAGTCAAGAGTCTGATAAAGTGAATGGAGCATTCCGAGTCAAAAATCCGTTGGGTTCATGTCCTTATATGAAACTGCTTCAAAAGTATTTTTTAGTTTTCTTGTGCGCTATATTACTTGTTTCATGTTGTGATTAAGCAAATAAATGCCATAGGTTAAATTGTTTTATCTTCGATCTCAAATTTGTTTAAGAATGTCTATGAGCTGTCTATTTAGTTTTAACTTACTGTTCAAAGTTTTTGTTTGATCATTACCTGAGGTGGCTATGATTGTGATGATTTTGTGATTTGCCTGTCAATTTCTGCAGAATCATTATGCTGGTTGAAGCAATATGTGCCGGTTTTTTTATGAGTGTCTATATCGGTGAGTTTGGTTGGTGATTATGTTGTGGAACTGAATACTACATTATCCTAGAAAATTGTTCAAAATTTGGAGTACTTATGAAAAGTTTAAAGCTGGTATCTGCAGGTTATGTGCACCAGTACAATTCATTAGAGTCCCAGCCTGATGTTTTGAACTCACTCTACTCTCCACTGCAACAGTCAAGTTCTTTAGAAGGATTGAGGTAGAAAAACGTACTTGTACTTTGCACATTACAGACTACTGTTACAGAAAAATGTTATAAGCTCATTATATTATCAGAAATGTAAGTGTGATGTCTATGCAAATAACTAGTTCGATATCTTATACCATGTTTTTTCTAATAAAATATGCCTTGTTTTGGAGAGAGTTTTAGGAAGCTACTCAGTACTTTTTCTTACTAGATCACTTTTGGAAGTTTGAAAGAAGAATCATGTTCAGGAAGTCAATATTTTATAATATCCAAATCTTGCCTTTACGCACCATAAAATTACTTGGACCTATGGTGTTAGAGACACAACAGGAGTAGTACTGCTATTACTGTTGATTTTTATGATTGATAACTGTAGCACTTCGAAAACTGAACCCCTGCAGTGGTTTTCTTTCTTTCTGTTTTCCTTTTGTAGAGTTGATTAAATCTGTCTTTTGTGATAGGTACCATGATGGTGGACGGCTATCTGATCAGCAGATGGCTTTGTTGCAATATCAGAGAGAAAACCTTCATTTTCTAAGTGAGGAGGTAAATTGCTATTAAAATTGTGCAATAAGTTTTGGTAGAAAGCTCCCGTGCTTGGTTTCTCATGTAGAACGTAGTGGCTTGTAAGATGCAAATTCTGCTGGTTCATTTGGCTAGGATGTTAGTATTTTGTTCGCTCAAGGGTTTCCATGTGAGCCCCCAAGTGCGTTATTTTCGTTCAATCTTGATGCGGAGCTTTGCACAACCAATAATTAGGACATTCTTTCTTTCTATGGTTTCTAATCATTGTGTATTCCTTGTAGATTCTTAGGTTGCAGGAATGCTTAAGCAAATACGAGAGATCTGATGACGGGAGCACGCCTCAGGTGATGATCGTCCTTTGATAGACAGATTTTGTGTATGGCACGTGTTATGTACCTTGCTCGAAATAAAAGTAAAATCTACTTGATGAATATATTTTTTGTATGGCACGTGATGTACCTTCTTGCTTGAAATAAAATTAAAATCCGATTTTGTTAAGTACTTTTGAGCTATATAGACAACGGATTTTGGGAATATGTGTTGGGGAAAATTCTAAATGTCATTAAATACCTACGGTAGGATGTGAGTATTTTATGAAGTTCAGCATCCGTAGCTGTCCTATGACCTGCGTGCTTTGCTACAGATTCGTGATGAAATAATTGTAGATTTGAAAAATATCATAATTGCAGATTTTATTGGATTTTGTAGGTTGATCTTGCGCATTTATTAGCAGCTCGTGACCAAGAATTGCGCACACTTTCAGCAGAGGTAATACCTGCTCTCTTATTATGGCAGGTGATCATAAAAATGATTCAAGTAGTACCTCAAGAATCAAAGTTGATGTATTGTGTTTTGTTGCTTTAGACTCTCAGGTCGTTCGTTGAATGAGTCTCAACTTATTTATGCATCTTTTCCGCCTTCAGTCTTTTCCGGCAATGCTAATATTATTTATTTTTTGGCAGATGAACCAGTTGCAGTCTGAACTAAGACTTGCTCGATCCCTGATTGCCGAGCGGGACTTGGAAAGTCAACGTCTGCGCAATACTAACAATCAGGTAGTTACTGGCCGATTACATTTGTGCTCTGTCCACCAATAGCTAACTTATAAGAAGGGAAAACAAAAGACAGGTTTAATGACTTTTGAGAACATAGAGTAATCTTGTATCCATCTTACTTCAATGGCTACATTTAGTATAATTCTGACATAATCGCATCAAGACAAAGAACCAATTTTATTCAAAGGCATCTCATCGCTTTACGATAAAAAAATGTTATGTCGATCCTTGACTCGCAATTGCTAATGATGGAACAGTATGTCGAGGAGAACGAAAGGCTTAGAGCTATATTAGGGGAGTGGAGCACCAGAGCAGCTAAGGTAAGTATGAACACTTTTCTAGCTTCAATATTTAAAAACTATATATGCCTCTCCCACGTATGATTATGCTGACTAATTTTCCCGGTCAAACGAAAAGCTGGAGCGGGCATTGGAGTCCGAACGCTTGACAAATTTGGAACTGCAGAAGAGAGTTACAACATTAAAGTCTCGAACAACGCAAGAACCAATCGAGCCAAATCAGCGGTTGGACCATTAATTCCATTCTCGCTACCAAATTTGTATGTCTTTTCCTTTGGCTTGTGAGATTCACTTGATTATGAATTTCCATTCTTTATTTCTTTTATTCTTGCTGTAGAAGAGTATAGGTAAAAATGGATGTCAAAAAAAGCGTGCATGAACCGAATTGTGAGCCGTCCTTCACATCTATTCTATCTGCTGGGGTTTTGTTTTTCTAATTTTTTAAAAAAATCTTTTTTTAGTCAAACCAAAGAAATAAGTTGACTTAACGGTCCCCACGACTTTTTTTTTAATAGAATTTTTAGAAATTAATAATATCTAATACATTTAACTAAAATAGAATAAATTAAAAATAATATTTTTAACAAAAAAGATAGAATTAAAAATATGATAACCATGAGCCTGTTACAAAACACACACACACACACACACATTACAATACATTCTCTACATTGTTCTCATTTCTAAGAAGCTGCTGTTTTTTTTTTCCTTGAGTGATAAGTAGATCAATAAAAACCCAAAGTAAATTCGATAAGATGTTCTGTCGCTATCGCACATGGAGCTGTCTGTGCGAAACAGTTTCTTCTCCAGTAAAATGCGGGGAAATCGATCATCACAACTAACCTTAAACTAAAGTTCCATTACAATGGAGAGACATGAGTAGTCTCGTTTAAGAAGAGACATCCAAACACATAGTTGTAGAAGTCTTTCCCTCTCACAACGCCACCTCCACCTGTAACGGCTTCCATATCATATTTGCATGCCCGAGTACAGTCGGGGCAGTACGTCACCTACCAAAAAAATATATATATATAAGCATGTGAAGACGGAACTATTTCGAGAGTTAATTCAAAATTTGTATACAACTTTTGTTTCACACCTCCAACAATTTAGGCTTATATTGTTCGTCGAGCATGACATCAATGCCATACATGGCTCTAGATGTCGGACTATGCATTTTTGGATGCACTACAGCAGCCGACTCAAAAACAGATCTGATCATTTTTTTAATTCTCTGATGGATATCCGACCATTGAACTGCAACATTAAGCATGGGCGTAATATGAGTAAAATAACAACCAAACCATTACAAGATAGAACTTTTAAGGTAAGCGAATGATTTGGAATTAGGAAGCATTCAGTACCGTGATGTTCTTGTTCGAATTCTTTCACAAACTCCGGCGTTTGCATGTGATTCAATTTTCCCCTGTAATTCTGAAGAATATACACGGAAAAAGACGTATCTATGAGAAAGCTAGTACTTATTGAGCGGTGATCTTTATCTGGATTACAATCACCTTTACAACTAGGTGACATCAAAACTAACAATAGAAATGAGTTATATTGAAACCATAAGGTAATAAATAGCAGATCTACATACCATAACTGTGAAATGTGTCTCGTATTCAAACAAACTGTGCTGCTCCAAAGAGTAAGTGTTGTTTGCCAACCTAACCTGAAAAAAAAAAGATGGAAATACAATCTCAATATCTATAAGGAACTAGAATTTCAGAAAATTAACCTTCCTCAAGGTTTTAACATTTATTCGCGCATAATAATGAAAAAAAAATGAGCATACCCAGAATACATCGGTAAGAAATATCTCTAATGGGTTCATGCTCCGAACGAGAACAATGTAACGGAGATCAAACTTTTTTCCTCTAAATAGGGCAGGGTGTTCAATATACTTCTGACATATCTTTGGACCAGTCTCCATGAGACGAATGATAGCTGATAAATTTTGAGTAACAGTAGTATCAATAGTCCTGGCCATGTTCCATGGTTTTAAGATCCACAAGTTGTCAGCACCATCCCTTTCACGTGTGTGATAATCTCCTACAAGTTGAGTTAGGTGTGTTTCAAGATTATATGTCGGCTGGAGCCACTCAGGAGTACCATGAGCCTGTTACAAAAAAAGGGGTTGAATCTCTAAACCTGGTTCTCTGATACTAATACAGCAGTTGGCTATTTATTAATTAATTAATTATGTATAACATTAGCAAGTGAAGAACCTTTTGAACAGTTTCTGCCAAGTGATGTTTCATAACAATACAAGCCTCGAAAGGAAATTGATTTACGTATTGCTGATCATTCAGTCCAACTGCCTTCTTCATCTCCTCGTCGACTTGCTCACTAGTCCATACTATATCTGCATTCTTCGGTTCAGTTGCTGTGGAGGGAGCAGTTGGAAAAGAATAAGTTCCCGAAAACAAGAAACTTAAAGTTGCATCCTAAAATGCAATGAACATGATATTGAGCAAGAAAAGGTCACTCAAAGAAACCTCATGTACTCTGTGTGGGACAGATGTTTCCACAAAGAAATTCGGGAGGAAAAGATTGGACTTGAATATGAGAATAAACGCAGTTCCATTTAAAATTCGAGGTGAATGAAATAGCATAGTAGTAATAACATACTGATCACAAATTCTGGACGTGTCAAAAGTTCCTCTACTTGAGGTATATCAGCGTAAACATGTAATACACTCCTATCACTATGAAGCAGACTATTGGTTGCAGATGGCAGCACCGGCAGTGGAGAAAATTTGGCCAAGTTTAATTTTGTGATGTACTTTTCATACTCCTGTGGAAACAACAATTGAACTTTAAATGAAGTGTTCTAAAGCATGGGTTGACCACGCTAAAATAAACTCAATCAGAAGAACATACTCTAATAAAATAGTCTCGTGGTGTATGAAACCAGGCAGTAAGCCTAGCAGAACGTTGTCTCTCCTCGCTGATGCCAGAGAGGTAATCCCGAGTGCACTCCTCACCTTTTTGGACATTTTTCGTAGGCCAAAGGATTGAGTAGCTGAAAATATTTACTCAATCAAGTTACTTTTTACAAAATAGACAAATTGTGTAAATGAACTAAAAAATAACGATTACTGAAAGCGGGCCACATTATAATCAATGGTTTTGACATAGAGATTTAGAGCAAACTCATAAAGCAGATTATAAAGATACTCTCAACATAAAAAAGAAGAAGCAATACAAGGTATGGTTGAATGAAAGAACCTCACAGCTGACTCCAGATTACCCTCGGGCATATAGAGGAAAGGCGAAACTCTGAAATTGGACTCATCACTGTGACGTAAAGCTGAACCCAGTTCATCCATCACATACCTGAAAAGGCAATTATTATTCATTTTTTGGGTTATTGTAATCAAACAAATATTTTTTAATCCACATATGAATATTTCATAACACCTAATCAACATAGCCACTTGAGCAATAAGAACTTAATGCTTACCAAACAGAAGTTTCATCTATTTTCTCTTCATCTGCAAGCCGGTATGTCATCAAGTGCAACCACATAGCATTAATAACCCGATCGGTGAGAGATTCTCCATCATTCAACTCAATGAAACGAGGTTTTAACATTGAATCAACGATGCTCTTCCCAGATTCCAAGATTTTGGAAGTACTAACTCCATTCAATAGTGATAGAGTAGGCATAGCTTCAATAATATCAACAGCATTGTCTCCAAGAGGCCCAGGAATATCCACCTATTTTAATGCTCAAAATCAACATAACTGCAATTTTATTGAGAAACTTAAATAGCTTTTATCTGACAAGTTACCTCTAGCGAAGTCAAGTTGATAAATCCTCTGAGATATTTTAGCAGTTCATCAACTGAGGTTTCATTTAGTGGATTCCCGTGGAGATTCAAGTATGACAGAACAGGCATTTCAAGAGGAGAAAAGGCCTGGAAAAAGGCACCAATTACAAAATGAATAAGAGACTAAATCGTCAATTTATATATTATAATATTATATGAACTGTAAAGAAATAAAGTTGGAAGCTAAGAGTACAGAACAGAAATTTGGATTTCAGAGAAAGACTGACCTTAGTGATAAGATTGCGAACACACCTATTTGAAAGGTCAAGAGATATCACGCTCTGCAGTAGTTGTTCAGTCTGATAGGAACCTCCGGGATTGTCTTTCTCATATAATCCTCCACAGAATCCTAAGGCCCATTCACCATACTTGGGGGTTAAACGTGAATTGTAGATTTCTAGTTCAGGGCAGTTTTTCAGAAACGAATCTTCCAAATCAATATCACTGGAAATGAAAAAGAATATCTGTTAAAAGCCCTCAATCCTAGAAAAAATTAAAGCATATGATCATATACTTATACTAGCAACAGCGTTTCAAGAATATCAAGACTCACCCAGCTTTCAGTATAGGATTATAGTTCAGCCATAGAGCTTTAAGAGATTTAAACTGAGCTACCACATTTGCCACAATTTCCGAGTTCGTGAGCTTGTTGCCACGGAGGCTTAGTGCCAGCAAGTGCTGTTGCATTAACAGGAACAACAAATGATCAATCAAAAGCAAAAAAATACGAGTTCACTATCATTTTGAAACCTAGTCCCAAGCGATAGATACTTACGGGAAATTTACTAGGTAGATCAAGAGAAACTAGCATATCATCATCAATTTCAAGATCCTCAAGCTCCAACCACAGCTCAGAATCAATGCCTTCTTCTTTAACTTTGCAGTATTCTCTCTCAACTATTTCCACGGCACTTAGTTTAGCATCATCACTGCCATCTGGCTCCTCAGCCTCTGAATTCGAATCGATATCAACACACATTAATGAAGCCATCCTTTCTGCCAATCCCGGAACCTCCTGCAACTGAAATATTACCCAAACTCTCATCAAACATGTACATTTCTACCAAACAACACAATCAAAAACATAAGAAAGTCTCTCTTCAAGCAATACAAATTGCGCTTTATCCCTTCCCCACACATTTCGCTTGATCAGAATAAAAAAAAATAATAAATGAGAGAAGTAGCAGACATTATGTTGGTTTATACCTGCTTGTAAGCATCGGAAAGGCGAAAAGTCCAGGCATGGTCCACCAGAAAGACGTCAGAATCTTTACCGAGCGAATCCGCCGTGAGCACGAGCCTCCTCTGCCTGCCGTCCTCCACGGATTCCACCTGGAAATGATTGCCGCCGTCGAAAGTCTCTGAATAAAGCTTCTGGAAGAGCTTGCGGTGCAGTGCCTGCGGGAGCCCCGACGCCGCCAGAAGGACGCCGTGGACCTTCGCGAAGTCCTCGAATTTCTCAATTCCGGCGACGGCGGCGGGCATTTTGCATGTGAATTGGTGCTGCTGTTGTGCGATTGAAAGCTCAGGGTTTTGGGTGAGAATGGAACGGAGGCTGGAGGGGTTTTAGAAAGAGGGTTAAGATATAATTAACTGATAAACGTAGGGACGAAAAGATGGGGAAAAAATTAAATGTGGGGCTATTTGCAAGACAAAAAATGGCTATTACCAAATTACAAATGGGCGGCGGATATATGCAAGCCCATTTTTTTATTAGTTCAAGACATCTAACATAAAAATACTAATTTACCCTTAATGAAATTCAAAAGCAAAAATCGGTTTCCAAAAAACCGATTTTTTACTTAATAATCGACATTACAACGCCGATTTTCGTGTACAAAATCGGTCTGGATAAACCGATTTGAGAAACCAACGAAAACACACAATAAAACCAATTTCAATCTCAAATTTTTTTTTTTCAAAATCGACTAAAGCATTGCAACCCAACAAGAAATAAGCATAGATTAATGTTCACCCACGCATATTTATCAAGAATCGATGCCCAATTAATGTTTTCGAATTTACAAACAAAAGTTTAGTAAAAAGGACTTGCTTGTTGGTGGTGGTGCGGTGGGTGGGTCACTGGTCGTCGACAGTGCGGTGGAAGTCTCGCTGGTCGGCGTCGCGACGGTCTGGCGGCGACAGTCGTGAGTTTTTTTTTTTTTTTTTTTTTTTTTTTTTGAATTTTTGGTCTTGAACAAATTAAAAATAAGGTTTGTTTGTATTTGAGTATTATTTGTGGATGGGGATATATTCGTCATGTTTCGTCTTGATGTAATAAAATTAAATTAATATATGGGCTTGAGTTAATATATCCCTTTATATGGATTTGAACTAATAAAAAAATGGCCTTGCATATATCCGCCATCTTACCAATATTGACCAATCTAAATCCAATACCATAGAAGTAGAGTAATTCCTTTACACAATACCCTAAATACTAAAATTATAATCATTTTAAGCAAAAAATTGGCGCATGAATGTCGAATAAGTGGGAAAATAACGACGGTGAATTCTATGAACAATTCGACGCATGTAATGTCGAATTTCGACACACATATGTCGATATTTAATTTAATATATAAGTGTCGAAAGATTACAGAAAATTCGACATATATGTATTAAACGAACGAATATAAAGAAAAGTGAAAATCTCCATTTATGAGTTGAGCTTGAGTTTCCTCCTTATCCTCTTTCTTTCTTCCTGAATCTTCATGTCTTTTCTCGTTTCGGTTTTTTCGAAACAAACTGATACACATATAAAGTTGATGAGGTCCGAAAATGTTGTCGGATTCATTTTTCCAAAAATGTCTGGGGGGGTGGGGGAGAATATTGAAACACGTTGTGAGGGACATTCTGATACAGTTGTAGTTGTAATTCTAATATAAAGTGAAGGAGATTTTAGACATTTTATAGCAGATGGAGAGTTAACTGTAAGCGGAACTTAAATGAATTTCGCTTACATGAATGAATGCAGTATCTAAAATATAATATTAAAGACCGAACTGTAGAGCCAAAAATGATATACTAGCTAAAACATCAACTTAATTAGGTAACGAGGTATTTTGGAACCTTTGAATTGGTCTTGTCCTTAAAAAAAAAAAAAAGATTGGGCCACATGGTTTGGGCCATGTTATGAGAATTATAACGTACTAGTCAATTAATTATTTTTAGGGTAAATTGCATTTAACCCCCCTGTGGTTTCACGGTTTGGCAATTTACCCCCCTCTAATATCGATTTGGGCACTTAACCCCCTTGGGGTTGTCAAATTGTAGCGGCCGTCTAAAAATCCGTTAAAGTTAACCGTGAGTGCATCTCACTCGCCCAAAATTGAAGTGGTTGAAGATTTTCCAAGGTTATTTTTTAAAAATACCCATGTTATCCTTTTGTCTTGCCTTTAATAAAAAATTGTTACACCAATCTTTCATTTTTTTCTTATTAAAATTATGTTTTACATTTATATGACATATTTTTTTATTCTAAATTAATTATTTTTCAAAATTACATATCTGACTTTATAATTATTTTATATTTTTCTTCAATAATCATATGTTTATTAAGCCTTTTATTTTTAAATAAAAAATATACCTGTATATAAATTATAAAACATAAATAAAAAATTACAGAAGAAAATTAAAACAAGGACTTGTTGAGGGCTGAAGGCTTTATCCACCCAAATCTAATAATAATAATAAAAAAAGAAAAAAAAAGACGACAAAAATCGAAAAAAAAACCAGGGCAAAGAAATGTGGATGTAGAAGATGATTGTTTTGGATATTGAAACATCCACCCGCTGCCGACCACCACCAATAGCCCACCATCAAACCGCTGCCGACCACCACCAATAGCCCACCATCAAACCGCCGCCGACCACCACCAATAGCCCACCATGAAAACACCACCGACCACCACCACTAGCCCACCATTAAAACGCCGCCGTTTCAATTTTCACTATCAAAATACTATTCAACCACTTCACAACGACATCAAAAATTCGCAGAAACGACAAGGGGATGAACCACCACGAAGAAAAACCGAAAGTTGCAGAGATATAGCTGAAGAAGAAAAAAATTGCGAGCAATGGGTTTTGAGGTGAAAATCCGAGCTGCTTTCTTTATTTTTGATCGGGTTTTCTGATTGTTTTAGGGAAGTGTTTATGAATATTTTGGAGGATTTTTTGATTTTTTTTTCCCCTATTCTTCTTTTCTTGAAGATGCTGTAATGACCGATTTGATGGTGAGGGAAAGAAGATATTAGGGAAAGAAGTTATGAAAATTGTAGTTTACTCCTATAAATTTGTGTTATTTATAATTAAATCTTTTTGAATTATATTTATTTAGTAAAAAAAAAATACAAGAGTTTTAGTCATGGTTTGAACCAACAAATAGTATATAAAAAAGGGCATTTCAGACATTTAGTGTTTTCCGTTAGTTTATTAAACGGCCGCTACAATTTGACAACCCCAGGGGGGTTAAGTGCCCAAATCGATATCAGAGGGGGGTAAATTGCCAAACGGTGTAACCACAGGGGGGTTAAATGCAATTTACCCTTATTTTTATAGTCCATTTGCTAACAAAACAAAGTCCTAGTGTCTAATCCTTTTCTTTCTATATATATTATTTCTATATATATTTTTTAATATAAAATTATTTTATTCTATAAATAATTTACACTAGTAGGGCTCAAAAATTTATATATAAACACCACAAGGACCATTTTCCATTCTTTAAATCTTCTGGTCAAATTATCCCCACTCACCTTTGTCCAACAGTTGAACAGGAATATTCCAAAATTGAGAAAAATAAAACGAATATCCAGACAATCTTGTGCTATGCTATACCTGAATATTAAGTAAACTTTATTAAATTATATTATACTATAATACACTTATATATAATTTTTGCAAAACAAAATGTGATGCATAATATATGATTAACTTAAAGTACAAAATTACCTAATATGTATGTTTCTTATTGTGAGCATCTAACCCGAAATACGACCGTCTATATAGAAAATGAAAACCGGGCCCGTCTATAAAATTGGACCCAAAATCGGGCCTGTCGAAATATTTCATCTGGTGTAGCATCTAGAATTGATATCCCTTTGAAACCCTACTACTATTCAGTTACAGTACACCTTACAACAGCGAAGCACTCCTCCCTCATATTTAACATAAAATATTTGAAAAAAAAAGAAAAAGGATATTATTGTTTAATTATCCAATTTGGAAAATAGTACTGCTTTTGTCTGGATAAAGATAAGGCCTTTCACGATCAGTTTTCTTCTCTCTCGTTTCATTTATTTGACTCTCATTCTCTCTCTCCGCCTATACGTACACACACACACAGTATTTGTATCTATCTATCTATAGGAAGAAGTTTCTCGATAACAGTGTACCGGAGAAGTCGATAGCGTTCGAGAAGGAACAACTCGGGGCGGTGGTTGCCGGATCGAAGGGATAGGGTCAGTTCACCGCAGTATGGCGTGTGTTTCGATGCCGTATGACTCGCCGGAGTTATCAGCCTCCGATCGGAGATCGCCGGAGACGGAGGAGGAGGAAGAGGAGAGTAGGAGCGGAACTCTGTCGTCGTCTTCCTCGTCTTCAATCGGAAAGAACAGCGACGAGCGTATGGAAGACGGCGGCAGTGATGAAGAGGAGGTGCTGAGTGAATATAAAGGAGGACCGCTGGACAATTTGGATTCTCTGGAGGAAGTTTTGCCTGTGAAGTACGTTAATTTGAGTTTTATTTTGTTTAATCGTCAGTTTTTTTTTTAAAATTAAATCCTAGGGTTTTGAGTTAGTATTATGTTTACTGATTGTTGTATAATTTAGCTGTAGCGAGACTTTTTGTGGTTTAGGGCTTTGGATTTTTTTTTGTTATTGAGGGACATTGGGTATTTATTGCAAGCTTTTAGGATATGTTTTTTCACTTAGGAAGCAAATTATAAGATTGCTGCATTGTTTGGTTTCCTTTTTCATTTGAGGGTGTTTCATTGAAAGACATTATTTTGGATTGCGTACGAATTTTTTTTGGGGTCAATGGAAACATCTAATGCATTGTTCATTTAAAAAAAACACTTGATGTGGGGATGGTATTTCACTATTTCAGAATGTTTGACTTTCTTTAACAATTTCTTCAGTTAGATTTTTTATTTATACGTCTAGCTCCTTGTTTCCACAATTTGGGTGGATTGTACTACTTCGTTGTTAATGAACTTGTTGTATCATTACCATTCCTTTATTTTCTTTCTTGAGTTACAGATAAATGATAAATCGATCAGTCGACACTAATCTTGTTGTTATTATCCTATTCTGAGTAATGAAAACTGTATTGCCTTACCTCTTTGAGACTGGGTAGTGTTGTACGGGCTTTACTCGATTTACTTCATTTTCTTCACCCATGTTTCAAGTAATCAAAGTTTCTGACATCTAGGTTCTAAAATTAGCATTCATATGAGTGTTATTGTTTCAAAATGGATGCCGGGAGTTAATTCATTTGTTTTTTTTCCTGTGTATTGTATCATGCTGTTTCTTTTTTATCTATGTTTGTCATTCTGAATGTTGGATATGTATGTGCGTTAGTGTCATCCTCTAGGTTATTATGCCGGCTCTATAGTGACATGGAGCTTTCTTACTTTTAAGTTGCCGTTCATTTTTTGTTGCACATTTCTGAGATAATACCTCTGTTCTGATATTATTTGTGAAATTTATTTCAGAAAAAGCATATCGAAGTTCTACTGCGGTAAATCTAAATCATTTACCAGCCTATCCGATGCTGCATCATGCTTCTCCGTTCAGGACATTACTAAACCAGAAAATGCATACACTAGGAAACGTAAGAACTTACTGGCTTTTAACAACTTTTGGCAAAAGAATCGTAGTAGCATTTCAAGGAGTGGCAGTGGTGGGATATCAAAAAGACCTAGCAATTCTCGAAGTATGCTGACTCTTGCACCGAACATGAACTATTCCGAGAGCAATTCTGGGGAGACCTCGAACACATATTCGTCATCACCTGGTTGCAGCCTTCCTCCTCTGCCACCACATGCAAGAAGAGCTCCAAAAAGTGGCCTATCCTCGTCACCTGCTGCTGATAACTTCCCTTCGTGGAGATCTTTCTCCTTCTCTGATCTGCAAGGTGCTGCTGTAGCTGCTAATAACAGTGACGAATAAAACAATAATGTAACTTATCTTTCATTTGCAGTGTGTCACCCTATGAATGTAAATTGTGATAGATGTTCATGGAGGTGGAGACATTTGTACTATCTTGTTGCTTTGTGCTCATGCTTCTTGCTGCTCCCGTAGTTTTAGTTTAGGCATCACATGTTCCCTCACATTTCGAGTGTATTTTCTGAAATATACAATTAATCTTTCTTTTTGACTCTGTTTACATTTAGATCTAAACAGAATTACAAAAAAGTCGCACAGATGCACAATATTTATTTAGCTGCTATGTCAATGACCTGAATTGTTTCAATATGGAGAGATTAGGCTTTCTGTAATGAAGAAGCCCCTGAAGGTACTTTTGATTATGATGATTCATGAGCTGAAGAGTGGTGGAACCATTTTTAAATTCTTATGTGTTAGTGAATGTGAAAGGTTGGCATTCACTATAATTATAACGTCTTAATCTTCTCATCTGTTTGTTGCTTTGATATCTCCCCTCTCTTTTTTCTTGTTGATTTCAATATCTTAACCAGCTTCAGATATATGCTGGTAGCTTCCAGAATTGGCTGGCTTTAAGGGATGCAAATGGCTGCTAGACTGTAGGACTGGTTTCCATCAATAAAGATATGAAAGGGCATGGAATGAAATGGTCGAGTCGTAATCTTATATTGCCAGTCGACACCTTCCTTAAGGTATTCTTTACACAGCTCGCTTTTGACAAGCATTCAATTCCTGTGCTGTGGTCGGCTTAAATAGTCTATTGGTTCATCTTTAATATTCTGAACATTTTGGTGATGTCTTATCGCAATTGTCGGATATTATGCTGGTAGGAAATGAAACCACGTTAATTTAATGCACTAGTACTATACCCGTGTGATGCATGGTGATGAATACATTTTTCTAATTAATGATAAATACATATTTTAAATTGATGATTCAAAACAAATGAGAACGTATATATTTATATTTATATATATTCAAGTCCATACAATCATGTTTTTCAAAAAAGAAAAAAAGGAAAATAATTAGTAGGTTCTTTAATAACTTTAGTACCGTATTTATTAACGACCTTTAGAACATCGTAATCTGTTGTTAGCACAACATATAACTGTTTATATATATATATATATATATATATATATATATATATATATATATATATATATATATATATATATATATATATATATATATATATATATATATATATATATATATATATATATATATATATATATATATATATATATATATATATATATATATATGGGTATATATATATGTGTATCTATATATATGTGTGTGTGTGTGTGTGTAGTGTGTATAGTTTTTGGTTACAAGTTAAATGAAGCTACAATCTTGTTGGTATATCACGTGGACCGTATAGTCATACTTGTATTTTGAATTGTACGGAAGTACGGAATATGATATCGATGTGTTTGGATTTCAGTGTAAAAGAATTGAACTGTTTGTCGTACATGCCATGCATTATATCAAACTGCTTGAGGCATACTTTTCTTTATGCACGAATTGTACGGAATAACTGCATCACTAGGTTGTCATTTATGATAGTGTGTGTGTGTGTATATATATATATAAATATATATATATATATATATATATATATATATATATATATATAATGTCAACCGTACAGTCGTACTTCCTTATATTTTGAAATGTACGGAATATGACATCATTGTGTTGGATTTCAATGTAAAGAATGGAACTGTTTTGTCGTATATGCATAACGTCAAAACCTATGAAACAATTTGACCGTTGCGAACAAATTGTACAGAATAAATGCAACACTTCGTTGTCGTTTGTGGGTTTTCTTTTAAATCATATGAACATATATAGGGTGTATAAGTTTTGGTTATAAGTTAAATGAAGCTACTATGTCGTTAGTATATCATTTGAACCGTATAATCATACCTCCTCATATGACATTAACGTGTTTCGATTTTAATGTAAACAGATGGTACTGTTTTGTCGTATATGCATTATATCAAACTGTTTAGTCATACTTCCCTTTTTGCATGAATTGCTTGGAATAACTGCAGCACGACATTGTTATTTACGGTTTTTCTTTTAAATCACACGTTGAGAATTAATAGCAGACAGCTTCAAACTGATGACGTAACATAAGTATCTATATGGACTGAAGTAAGACAGAATTGTTGATACTCACTTGTGTGAGAACAAGCTAACATGTGTGCTCGACAGAATGTCGGTTCGAGTATTAAAAAAGTTACTAATATTCGGCATTCTATGTCGTAATCTGAAACCTCCCTTCACTGTTATATTGCATATACGACAAAACAGTTCCATTCGTTTACATTGAAATCCAAACACATTGATGTCATGTTTCGTACAATTCAAAATATAAGGAAGTACGACTAAACCGCATATCTAGCTTCACGATAGAGTTCTCATAATGGAACTATGACATTAATGAACAGAGTGAGCATATTGCCCTGCATTTTAAACCCTAATCATGACTCATGATGTGTCTTTATGTTGTCGTTCCGCAATTACTAACCCTAAACAGGAAATAGTTTTTTCTTTAAACTACTCTTTGTAGGAAATATAGAAAAAATGAATATTTTGGAATCTTATATGCTTCAACGTCGTCTGATAAAGGCCTCCGTAACTTCTTTTCTTTTTTTTTTTTCCCCGACGAGTCGGTTTGTCGGTAGAAAAGGTTGAGAACTAATTGGTTAAAGAAATGGAAAAAAAATTATTCCACGAGAAACGTCGATCATTTATGTGTCGTATATATGTATATACATTGAAACATATTATGATTAATCCCTCTCATGTGTACTCTCATCTGAATATAGATTATTTTTATATTTACAAATTACACACTGGATTGCTAGAACTTCACAACAAAACCAAATGTGAAATGATTTATTGTCTTTAGGTTGCCGTGTATGGGGGAAAGGAGACCATACTGTATGGTCAAAGTTGAGATTGTTATAACCTCTCAACTTATTGTAAAGTGGTATTCCTGTAATCGCTTAAATTCTGGACATTTAGGTGAAATGTTGAATTCTTTGATTTCATCGCCTTTCCTTGATATGTGACATGTGTATATTTGTCTGTGCGCAGGCGGGCTGAAAAGCAAAATCCACGCATGTTTTCCTGGGCTTATTGCTGTAATACCAATTGTAACATTAATTACTACCTACCAAAGATGATTTCTCCTCTGAGGTGAATCCACCTAATCGTAATTATTGCTTTGTTTTTTTTATATTACTGTGATAAGAACAACTTTATGACCCCATCCTCACATTTACACTGCAAGCATCTCTCAACAGGTTATATAAACGGGGGTTGGGTTGTAGAGTTTGCTTGCAGGAAGCGATTCTACACACAAGGATACACCTAGCTATTCTCCTTCAGGTTTATTCTTTCATCCATTGTGTGTTGATGAATTGTGCTGCATATCTTATTTTTAGAATTTGATTTTACTCGCAAATACATTGTTTTTGTGGTTTTGAGAATTTCTGGTATAAAGCCAGCCATGGAGATTTTTCTTCCAGTGAGTTTCATGAATGTCTTCCAACTGAGTTTTTTTGCAAAAACTGTTCTGATTTTATATGTGTGCATCAATTGCATGCATCTTTACTCATGGCAGGATTGAATTTCTAATCAATAAAGCTCTTCCTCTGTTAAATTTCTCTCTCTCTCTCACACACACACACACTCGCACATTTATGTCTCTCTCTCTCTCTCTCTCTCTCTCTCTCTCTCTCTCTCTCTCTCTCTCTCTCACACACACACACACACACACACACATCAACTTGCACATTTAAGTATATCTTTTAATCCTGTAACCATTTTTTGCTAATTTTATTTTATTTGGTTTTCTGATACAATTTGAAGCGCTTCCATGGGTAATTCAAAATACTCGAACTCTACCAAATACAGCATGCTTTTTTTTGGTTTCTTCATACAGACATATCTTCTCCACCATTGGTATATTTAAATTTTCATTTGCAGTTACGATTTCTTAAAAAAAGTTTGTGCTGTCAGATTCTAGCATCTCCCAATGGAAAGCACACGATACACAGTGACACTGGATGAGTTCAAACTTTTCCACAGGATCGACCGAACAGTGTACCTCATTCTCACAAGGGATCTCGCACGCAACCCCGTAGAGTCCCTCTACATCCTAGCTCTGTGGATGTGGTTGGAGCGCGGAGGAGGGTTCTCGAATTTCATATCCAAAACACTCTCCCTTCCTCCATTCCTAGTCAACGAACTCGCTGACGAGGCAGTCACATGCCTCAAATGTCTGAACGTCCAGTTCCCATTCATATCCGAAGCAAGCGAAATCCCTCTCACACAGAGCCTCGTGGAGAGGGATATCTCTCTCCAGTTTTTCTTCGAAAAACGGTTTACCGCTTTCGAAGAAATCCAAATCTTGGTAAGCAGAGTCTGTGTGCCTTCACTTTCTGATATCATGCAGGCTCATAGACAGGTGGCGGCACCATCTCCGAGCCATGTGCAGATGCATGCACCGCCTCCGCCTCCGCCTCCAGCTGCTGTGGATGACTCACTAGCCCACAGCTTCTTTAGCATGAGGATCGGTTCGGACGATCCTGGTCCTTCTCGAGGTAGGGGCCGCCCGAACGACAGGACCATGTTTGTCACCTTCTCCAAGGGGTACCCTGTGACAGAAACCGAAGTGAGGCAGTTCTTCACGATGCTGCTCGGGAACTGTATCGAGTCGTTGCATATGCAGGAGGTGGGGCGAAATGAGCAGGCTCTGTATGCTAAGATTGTCTTTTTCAGAGCTTCGTTCATCAGGTCGATTCTCAGTGGTGCGAGCAAGGCTAAATTCAACATCAATGGCAAGCATGTCTGGATGAGGAAGTTCGTGCCGAAGAATAATGAGTAGATTGTCGTTTGATGTCGTTTAACGTGTCGTCTCTGAATGTCTTGTGTGTGCGTGCATGCTGTTGTCGGTTAGTTTTTCCGTTTTTTCAGGTTTTAATGTGTCGTAGTGGTGTCGAGGTCGAAGTTTCCTTGTTTGTTTATTTTCAGTATTTCTTGCTTTTCGGTTGTGTTTAGAGTCGGTTACTAAAGCTGTTTTGTGATGGTAAATTTGTCTTCAGTCGGTTAATCAGTTAATGAAGTGTAGCTTCTTTGGTTTAATCCTTTATGAATTTGCTAATTTCCCAGCATTATAACTGCATTATAAACTGCTAAATTTCTTGAGAATTCTTTTATTTATTTATTTTATTTTTTATTTTTAATTTCTCATGTTTATTGCCATTCTTGAGCAGTAGTGTAAATATAGCAACTCTGAGTTGTCAATGATGAGTAATTTCATGTTTGAATTTAAAGTTATTTTCTGTAACAACTGTGTGGATCGTTTGGATGAAGTTTAAATTTACTCTACTGGTGCTGATTCACTACGTATTAACTATATTACACATAAGCAAAAGCTGTCTTTATCTGTGAGTGAAAGTCAAATTTCTTGTATTACATTATTTATTTAATTTTTTTACTAAATTATAAATCTTGAATACAATTACTATAATTTTTTTCCATGTAGATTTCAAATAACCTAATTAGTAATTACAATGCATATATGATATATTGAATGAATTCGTTCTCTCTATTTTGTATTTTTGATTTATTACACCGTATCAAGTTGCCTAATTCCCATCCATTATTACATAGATTTCTATTATTTGTTTGATATAATTTGAATTAAGATTCGATGAAATATAAATTACCAAATAAAAAAGGTTTAATCCTATTTTGCACCCTCGAAATGTAGTATTTTGGCAAGTTGCGCCCTTGCAAAAATTTAATAGCACACAATTATTCACACTTCACACTCAAATTATTATTTTCTTCCGTCCCAATATAATTTTGCGTACAAAATGCGAATAAACAAAAATCATGACGAATTAGTGGAAAATTTATATTTTCTTACCAAAAAAAACTTTTCTCACTAAATTAACCGATTGATGGATTTTTCATTGTAATTAATGACGGTATTTTGTAGAACTAATTGGAATAAAATATAGTTTTCAAATAACTTGATGTAAAAACAACTGAATGATTTTTTTCGTTCTTTTTGTTTTTTGTAAAATATTATTTTGTGATTCTTTTTGTAATATGTTAATGAAATGTATTTTTATTGTTGCACTTTGTAGTTTCGAAATAATTGATGAATAGTGAATACAAAAAAAAAAATTAATTTGACATTTGGCATCCTAAAATAAACACTAAAAATATTAAATTACTGCAATTCGCTTTAAAAATTCGTTCGGGACGGATTACGTCAAATCAATTGTATTTCTAGTGTGCATGCCAAAAACCTATATTTTAAGGGTGCAAACTGTAGATTAAGCCAATAAAAAATTCAATTGTGATCATAATTACATGGGCCGGGTGGGCCCATCAATCAAGTCCAATTAGGCCCGTAATCACCACACTTCAAATTAAAACACAAAAAAGAGGGAACCAAAAAAAAAAGGCTTTAAAAGCAGGGCCCTGATAAATGTAGCCGTTGCAAAATCCCCTGTTTTCTCAATCACACGCGCCTCTATAAATTCTTCAAACCCTCTTTCCATCTTCTCCACCACACCATTGAAGAACAGCAACAAACAAACAGACAATCAAATTGAAAAATGGCAGCATCCAATTCCAGAAGAAACTCATGCTCTTTCATTAATTTACTCCTCTCGTTCTTAAATTTCATCCTCTTCATCCTCTCGGCAGCCTCATTCGCGCCGACGATCTCCCTCAAAATGCCGCCGACTTCTCTCGGCTGGGCGTTTCTAACGATCTCTTCGATCTCTCTCCTATCTTCCTTCATCGGCTTCTACTCGCGGCTCGCGCACTTCTGCTACATCACGCACGTGTCACTCCTCCTGGCCTCTTCGACGGGGCAACTGCTAGGGTTTCTGGCGCTGTTCACGAAGGAGGAATCGAGCATCTCGATGCTCGGATCCCGGCGGGATCCGCGGGAGGCGAAGGTTCTGGTGAGATTGGAGTGCGGGGTTCTGATGGCGATGTTTGTGATGCAGATGGGGGTTTTGATCCTGAGTTTCGCGGTGCACAGTTGCTTGGTGAGGGAGTACGAGGGTTTGGAGGCGGAGAGGGATGCGTCGGTGGAGAAGCGGCGGGCGAAGATTGCTAGGGTTCAGGAGGAATCGATGGCGAATGCGGAGAAGATTGTTGAGTTGAAGAACAAGGAATTTGATGACAAGATGAAGAACAAGTATGGGATGAACAACGATGTTTGAAGGCTAATATTGGAATTTGCCTTTGTTGTTTATTTTTGTTACTTTATTTATGCGATAATTTTTATTTTTTATTTTGGCTTTGTGTGGCCACTAATTAGGTGGCCACTTAATATTATTGTTTAGTGTCTTAATATTATTTAATCTCGATTTTTTTTTCTTTTAATCTTTATAGTGGCTAAATTAAATTGAATCAATTTCCTGAGGTAATCTTAAGTTAAAGAAAAAATTCGTTATGTTGGATACTTGCAACTACACTATAACTACGAATCTTCTTATAAGTTCAATCTCATGGCCTGAAATTTAATGGAGTTTGTTTTATCAAATTCGTGATCCACATTTTGGAATTAGATAATCATAAGATGTGGTCATTAACTTGTAAATATCAATTGTGGTACATCTGAACTGCATTTTTGCATAAAACGAGTACAAATTAGAGAACATTCTACTAGATCTAGAAGATTATGTCGAATTTGACATGATGAGAATGGACAGATAAAAGAATTCATAGTTGACGGGTGATTGTAATACCGAAACGAAATTGATTTTTTCGTAATTTGATCGTGCTGTTAATGTAAAACATGACTACGTGTCATTATGAATTTGACTATACTATTGTTTTGTAAAAATTAAAAAGAAAAAGGAAAAATAGAGAAATAAAAGGCAACTCCAGCGTTTTAACAGTAGCAATGGCTTCTTCTCAGTCGGCATCTTCAACTACTCAGGTGCAACCCTCCTGCTGCCAGTGCGCTTTAGCATCAGTTAACGTCGCCAGTTTCGTGTCGGCCAAGCTCCGCCGTGATAAGAATTCAAACAACTACAAGTCATGGAAAGAGCAGATGCTATGCCTCATCGAGACTCAGGACTTGCTTGGCTACATCGCCGGCGAAATTTCTCCGCCGCCGATGACCAGCGAATCTTACGCCGTTTGGAGAAGGAGAGATCGGCTGGTCAAGGGCTGGATTTTGGGTGCACTGAGTGATGAAGTTGTTGAAACCGCCGTTAATTTGAACAGCGCAAGAGATGTTTGGTTACACTTGGAAAAGGCGTTTGTCAAACCCCGAGGTCCTCCGCCGCAGGCGGCGGCGGAACAAGGTAGTATTTACTATTACTGAATTTGAATCTGCAATTTTAATTAAAACTTAAATTTAATATTTTATTATTTCAATTTGTTAACGAAAAGCGTAGAGAAGGACTGGAACGAGTACTTGCCGCTGTACATAGCGGCACTGAGGGGCGATTGGGTTACAGCCAAGGAAATACTGGACCAAGACCCTAACGCCGTTCAAGCTAGGGTTTCCTTCACCTCAGAAACAGCTCTCCACATCGCCGTCGGCACCGGGAAGTCGATTCCGTTTGTGGAAAAGCTGGTGGATATGATGCCCGATGAATCGTTAGCACTAACGGACGAGCTAGGGTTTAACGCTCTACACGTGGCGGCAAGGACGGGGAACACGGCGGCAGCAAAAATCCTGATCCACAGGCTTGAAGATTTGCTGTACATGAAAAGCAATTACGGATTTTTCCCCGCCCACGAAGCAGCCAAGTCTGCCCAAAGGGACACTCTTCTGTTATTGATTTCTCACACCAAGGATGATTTTGAGCCTAATCCTTGTGCTGGTGCAAACGGTGTATCGCTCCTGAATGCTATAATCGATGCCGATTTTTTCGGTTGGTAATCAATGCCCCTTTATTTTTTCTTTCGTTTTTAGTTTGTGGATTGAGATTGGATTTTTTGGGCAGATATTGCTTTGCATTTGGTTGGCAAATACCCTCATACGGCGAGGATAGAACTTCCTTATGGTAATTCGGCTCTGAAACGAATAGCCCTTAAGGAGTCGGCTTTCTTGGGTGTAGCTCGATTCAACTTCTGGGAACGTTTCATATCCTCTAGTGAGTTTCTTCTTTGCAGTGTGATTCAGACATGATCGAATGGAGATGGTATCAATGTTTTATACCTTGTTAAGGATTTTCCTTGAGAAATCAATGCCTTGTCTTGAAGGTGTTCAGTTGGAGATGGAATCGAAAGTTCGACACGACCCACCAAATCGTGGTGACATTGAGGACCCAACTTGTGGCACTCGGATATATGTGGGCAAGTGAATCCGTTCTCCTTAATAATTATTGTCTTTGAGAAGTTTGTTTATGTGAAATCTTGGGACTAACGATAAGCTATAGTTTATACGGTAAACAGACGAATGTCGTGGAGCAAATATAGGTTAAAGGGCTTGACAATTAGTTACTAGTTTAAGGATGTGGTGTGTTTATCCAGCTTATGATTTCTTTTAAATCTAATTGGATGAACATATGTTCGTTTGTTTGAAAAGAAGGGTGCGCATAGAAGCTCCTTAGAGCCAAGATCCATACGTGTACCGTAATTTCTCTAAATGAGTGTCAATGTTTTTTTTCCCCTTCTATCTCGGATATCTGCAATCTTATAGGGCTCAAGAACTTCAGTATCTATACTATTACTTTTTTTTTCTTTTCCCTGAAGCACAAACCTTACGTTTATTTAAGTATTTGATATTTTCTCTTAATTTTAATGGCTGTGTTTCTATGTTGTTGATAATGCTCATATTTCAATGTGTTTGGACTCTTATCCAGAGTTTCGAAGGTGGCACAGAGTGGTCCAGAATTTGCATTTCACTCTTTGCAAAGTCATAAAACAACTCGGTAAAATCCAGGTTCTTGAATTACAAATAGGTTGATACATAGTATGCTTCTTTCTTTTCCTCTATCAGCTTACTTCTATCTCCGTGCCCATTCAGTGCCTCGCATAAAGGTAATTCACGACAAAAAAATGATGCACCACCAAGCACTGGAACTCGTCAAATGTTTGTGCAAGCACATGGGATCTTTAAATTACACAGAAGCTGCACCTATCTACAGAGAAGCCATGATAACCGCCGCACGTGTAGGTATCCACGAGGTTATAGAAGTGATCGTAGAGGCATTTCCCGCCGCAATTTACAATCGCCACGCTACTACCAAGCATTTCATCTTCCACCTGGCGGCACAAAACCGCTGTGAGAAAGTATATAATCTAATCTATCAGACGAGCGGCCATAAGCACCAGTACGCAGATGCAAAAGACTCTTCTGGCAACACACTCTTGCACCTGGCTGCAGGTTTAGCACCTCCTCACAAGCTCAATCTAGTTTCGGGTGCAGCTCTTCAGATGCAGCGTGAATTACAATGGTTTAAGGTATAAATAGTTTTATCCTTCTAAATGTCGTTTCAATTTCACTAAAACTGTTCCAACTTCAAATGTGATTTTGAGCCCTTTTAGTCCGAATTTGGCAAAACTCGAAGCACCAAATTGGTAGTCATTTGTGTTGGTTTTCTAATTCAACTTGAATAGCTAGATTGGAAGTTGGGTGAGAGAGTGATGCATGAATGAATGAACATTGGTTACGACTTTGATGTTTTGAGTTTTCTAATATTCATATTGTAACCTATTCATGCATATCTCTCTCACCCAACATCCAATCTAGTTGATTCAAGTTGGATTAAAAAGTCAACTCAAAGGACAACAAATTTGACGTTTTGAACTTTGCCAAATAAGGACTGAAAAGGGGTCAAAATCACATCTGAAGTCGGAACAATATTAATAAAATTGAAACGACATTTAGCAACTCCCTTTATTCTATGATGTAGCATCAAACCTGAAATTGTAACCTTTTCTTTTTTGTGGTTGTGGTTTGTTCATTTCGAGTTATGACAAGGAGAAAAAAGCAACGAGAAACTCATCACTAGTGTCCTTTTTCTCTTCTTAGGAAGTGGAAAAATTTGTTCATCCTTACACGAAAGAACGGCCAAACTATGCTGGAAAAACTCCGAAGATGGTGTTCACAGAGGAGCACAAAGACCTGAAAATCGAAGGAGAAAAGTGGATGAAAGATACTGCCAACTCATGCACAATCGCCGCAGCATTAATAGCCACCGTTGTATTTGCCGCAGCTATTACAGTGCCAGGTGGCAACGAATCAACCACTGGATACCCGATATTCTTGAAATCAGGTGCGTTCGTACTATTTGCAGTTTCTGATGCTGTCTCTTTATTCACATCGACAACTTCTCTGTTGATGTTTTTATCGATACTGACTTCGCGCTATGCGGAAGAGGATTTTCTGTACGCACTGCCCAAGAGGCTGTGTATTGGTCTCTTCACTCTTTTCGTGTCTATTTTGTTTATGACGATAGCATTTAGTGCTACACTATATTTGGTGTTCGGTTTGAATAATCGGTGGGTTGTGATGCCGGTGGCTGCACTTGCTTGTTTACCGATATCTTCGTTTGTGCTATTGCAATTCCCGCTTCTCGTGGATGTGATTTCTTCGACGTATGGCCGTGGCATTTTCGGTAAGCAAAGTGATAATTCATTTTATTAGAGTGAGATTCAATAAGAAAGTATTGTCATATGTAATTAATTACACTTCCATTGATTCTGTATATGTTGGTAAATCTATAATTTATATTTATAAATATATTTATCATGTATATCTTTGACCATAATTTTTGTTTTAATTAATTAACGATGAATTAATGATTTAATAAATATACTCGGACTTAATTTACTGATTTAGCCCTTGCTCTAGAAACCGGCCAATAAATTCCAGTGACAAGTAATAAGTAGGATGCAGAGGATTGGGACCCATTTAGCGCGTGGAAAGTTTGAGGGCTCGTGAACCAATCATATGCCCCTCAACCGATAGTGAAAGTAAATAATATTTCCAAAGAGGTCCCAAAGTTTTTTAAAAATTACAATCAAGTCACTTTCATTTTGATTTGTAAAGGGGTGAAAGTCGGATGTAATGGATTGGAATTGACATTATTGAAAAATTTCAGTTTTTTTTTAAGTATGATATTAGTTACAATTTCAATTTCAAATCCAAAACTTTTGGAATCTAAAAGTCATTCCATTTTCAAGAGTCAATCGAGACGATATCATATGTGATGTGTATAATTGGACACTCGCTCAAAAGTTTTTTTTTTTTTTTGACTCATCTAGAAGAAAAAAAACTCAATTAATACTCTAAACTACAATCTTCCTAAATACGTGAGATTAAGCGTGAAATGATCTAGTCCACGTTGATTTTCAAAAAAAAAAAGAAAAAAAACCCACATCAAACCTCACCGGTAAAGATTTTGGTAATGTATGTGCTATTTTAGTAATTAATTAAGTTATTTACTTATGTTATAGTAGATTTTCTGACATGACCGTCTGATTTGAACGTCGAAGAATAGTCTACCCCATCTGTCAAAATTATAGTTCAATCAATTAATGGACAATAAAAAGGAAAACATTGCGTAAGAGCATTTTGTTGGATATGATTACAGTGACAAGAGTTATATGTCATTTAGGGAAAATTACAAAATAGAAAACGTTGGATACACTATAAAATTACTTCATCTATGAGCTAATCTATATTGGAATATTTCTCAAAGTATTATCTTAATGTTATGAATTGACCTTAGATTTTATTTATGTATTTATTTTATTTAATTAGTTACCAAAAATATTAAATATTTTCCTATCATACTATTCGTGGTCCCCAAAAGGAAGTTAAATAAAATAAATAAAATCAAAGCCATGTGTGTAAATATACTATTGGCAAGTGAATCGAGATTTGACTTTCTAATATTTTCTTTGACCAGTGTAATTTTAATTAGATTAAACTATATTTTAATTGTATTTAATTTGTTTCGTAAAGCAATCAATAATATGGTAAATTAATTACAAATAAAAAAAAAATAAGGATTATTATATTATTATCATTTTTTAGGATTATTTTATTCCTCCTCTTGGCATCTAAAACTCATCGTTCTCCATTGAATACAGTCATCTTCATGATAATCACCCAACGGCCAAACACGCACTCACACACACACACACACACACACACACACACACACACACACACTCACACACAACACACACACATCTGTCAGTTGCATCAGATAATTGTGTGATGTACGCAGGGAGAAATGGGGCACCACCATAACAGCCACCACCACCACACCGCCGCGGCGGCGGCAGATGATGGCGGCGGTTTGTCGCAGCGTGTCAATAGCCCACGATTCTCCGGCCCAATGACCCGCAGAGCACACTCCTTCAAGCGAAACAACAACAACAACAACAACTCCTCACAGAGCACCAACAACGGCAACAGTACCAGCGGCAGCAGCCACCACCATGAAATCATTGATCTCCAGCTCAACTCCCCCAGATCTGAAACCCCAGTTTCCGGCGACGGCCCCGATTCTTCGCGGCCGGCCCACGTCAGCGGTGTGGCCCATAGGGTTCACTTGAGAAGGAAGATTTCATCCTTGAGTGTCGACTTGGGCGGATTCGGGTTGGAGTTGAAGGGGAAGAAAAAATTAGGGCAATGGATGTTTCTCATGTTTTGTGGGCTGTGTTTGTTTCTCGGCGCCGTTAAGATTTGTGCTACCGGCTGGTTCGGATCCGCCATTGATAGAATTGGAAGCAATCAGGTAACTGCATAGATTTGCAATGAATTGAGATTGTTGAATTTTAGCTTTACCCAATATATCAATGATTATGAACTAGATAAATTAGTAACTGTAAAGATTATAATTAGGGTTGCTACTTCTGTAGTATAGATGAAAACGGCAACGAAGAATCTTCGTACTTTGTGATTTTTATTCTTGTACACAAATGGTATAGACCCATAAATGGATGGTGACGGAGATATCGAGATATTTACTTGTTCCATTATTTCTTAATCTAGATTTTATTCCCTTATCTCCTGTGAATTTTACTCAATCGGGAATAGTCCTTTTCCGAACGGCGTTTTTACGTTTTACGACTTATTATGCTGGTAATTGTGTAAAATTGAGCCTGATTGTTGTCATATATTGTGATGGATATTAAAATGTTTGCGATAGTCGAACGAAGTCTAACATATATGTTCGAGTTTTATAGTCTTGTTTCCTATTCTCTTATATTGTAACTTAACCAGGACATTTACGATTCCACTACAAGTCATCTAAGAAATCAACATGATCAAGTCCCTCACGACTTTGCATTTACGGGGAAAGGACATGATAATGGGATGAGAGAAATCGAGGTGGAACAAACCCTAACAATGGTAGCATCTGGTGTTGTGAATACTCGTGATAATGTGGCTGATGTAAGTCTTGAGCTCTAACATCTCTGTCAAAGAATTAAACAGTTTATTTTAGATGTTTATCGGGATTTCTAGTTTTTTCTTTTTGCAGCATTCAGAGATATGGTCCCATCCAAATAGTGATAATTTCACTCAGTGCATTGGTCGACCAAAACACAAAAGTAAGATCGTCAATTTTTTTTTTTTTTTTTTTTGTTTTTTTGCTTATATTGTTTTTGTCAATTGTTTTACTTGATCTTCTTTTGTCAGAGCTGGATTTGAAAACAAACGGTTACCTTCTGACGAATGCAAACGGTGGATTAAATCAGATGAGATTTGGGGTCTGGTAGTCATAAATCTTGATGAATGAATTTAGTACTTATGAAGAGATTATATCTCTGTTTCTTAAGTTTAAATCTGATGAACAGATAATCTTAGAGTGCAGATATGTGATATGGTTGCTGTTGCCAAAATTATGAAGGCCACTCTCGTTCTTCCCTCTCTCGATCACACATCATATTGGGCTGATGACAGGTCAATACTTTTTATTTTATTTTATTTTTTTTATGTATTGTTTTACTGAAATTTCTCTTTCGTGGTATTTCCAGTGGTTTCAAAGATCTCTTTGACTGGCAATACTTCATCGAGTCACTACAAGGCGATGTTCACATAATTGACTCGTTACCCCCCGAATATGCTGGTGTCGAACCCTTCTCAAAAACACCAATTTCTTGGTCTAAGGTCGATTTTTCTCGATTTCAGTTCAGGATTACATTTTCTTGATACAATATCATTTTGTATCTATTTAACATGTGGGTTTTTCTTGAATCAGGTTAGTTACTACAGAACAGAGGTTGTTCCACTGTTACAGCAGCACAAAGTGATGTACTTCACTCACACCGATTCTCGTCTAGCCAACAATGGACTCCCCACTTCTATCCAGCGATTGAGATGCCAAGTTAACTACCGAGCCCTAAAATATTCCGCCCCAATTGAAGATCTTGGCAAAACTTTAGTGTCGAGGATGCGTCAAAACGGCGGCCCTTATCTCGCACTTCATTTAAGGTTCGACTGTTCCTCACCCTATAAACTATTCAGTCAATAAATGTGGTATTCAAATGTCTAAATATTGAACATTATTTACGGTTCTTGGAGGGTGTTTCTTGATTGAACATTATGTAAATATTGAATTTTTACTGTGCTTTCTATACATTTTCTCGTAAAATTCACACCGTAGATTTCGTTTCTTTCATTACAGGTACGAAAAGGACATGCTTGCTTTCACAGGATGCAGCCATAATCTGACTGCCGAAGAAGACAACGAGCTAAGACAAATGCGAAACGAGGTGTCACATTGGAAGGAGAAAGAAATCGACGGTGCAGAAAGGAGAAAACTCGGCGGTTGCCCTTTGACTCCAAGAGAGACAGCCCTCTTGCTTAAAGCACTCGGCTTTCCATCGAGCACTAGAATATACCTTGTGGCCGGTGAAGCATACGGAAACGGGAGCATGCAATATCTCACCGACACTTTCCCTAATATCTTCTCACACTCCTCTCTCTCTACCGAGGTAGAGCTGAATCCGTTCAGACATCACCAGAACATGCTAGCTGGTCTGGATTACGTTGTTGCCCTCGAGAGTAATGTTTTCGTTTACACTTACGATGGTAATATGGCCAAGGCTGTACAGGGTCATAGGCGTTTCGAGGGTTTCAAGAAAACCATTAATCCAGACAGGTTATTATATATTTATATTATTTCTCTTTTTCTTTATCTTTTTTTTTTATTTGCTTTTGTGAAAAATACTTATTATCTGAAATAAATATGGTAGGATGAATTTCGTGAAAGTGTTGGATGAATTTGACGAGGGGAAGATAAGTTGGAAAAAGTTCAGCTCGAAAGTTAAGAAGCTTCATAAGGATCGTAATGGAGGCCCGTATACGAGAGAGCCCGGTGAGTTTCCGAAGCTGGAAGAGAGTTTCTATGCAAACCCTTTACCTGGATGTATTTGTGAGAGAAACCCTGAAGATAGAAGCTGATAAAGATTCCCAGTTGAGATTCCACAAGGGTAAAACTGACATTTCAAAAGCAGGGCAGTGTGAAGTGAAAGCAGCCTCCTCTACTACAAAAGTTGGTAAAGGAAAGTACTTTTTTGCCATATTTTGCAATTTAATTGATTGGACATATTTTCCACTGATTTATAGCTTTATACTTCTACCATATATGTTGTATTAGCATTTAGCAAAGTACTTAAACGAACATAACATTATATACAACTTCCATGATAATCTGTTTTTGTCTGTTAATTTTATTTATGTTATTTTTAAATAAAATAAAATCAATGGGATTGAACCGACGACGAGTTTTGTGTTTGGGATAGTGAAGAGAGAGAGAGAAAAAATATACGAAAGTGTGCCGTAGATTAGAACTAGGGGTGAAAATCGAATGAATTGAATTAGAATCAGCACTCTCGAAAGTGCCGATTCCAATATGTTTTTTGGGAAATTGGAACGTTCGAGATTTGGAATGAAAGCAATTTTTCCGAAATCAAAAATTTTCGAATCGGAAACAAAATTCGGAAATTGTGTTCCAATCGAATGGATCGAATCAGAATTAGCACTTTCAAAAGTGCCAATTTCAGCATATTTTTTGGAAAATTGAAATATTCGAGATTTGGAGTGAAATCATTGTTCCAAAACCGAAAACTTTCGAATCGAAATCAGAATTCGGAAATTGTAAATTCATGAAAACAAAAAAGATGGTCTGAAATAGTTTCTGTTTTCGCCATTAAAAAAAAACAGAAGAAAGAGCAAATAATAATACTTTTGTCATGTCTTAAAACTTAAGAAACTCAGGCTTGCAAGATAGATTCGATGATGTCATCAAGAGGCGCAAGCTCTCCCTTCTCAATCAACCCAAATTCCTGCATTACATCATAAATCAAGAAATCACTATATATATATATATATATATATATATATATATATATATATATATATATATATATATATATATATATATATATATATATATATATATAATATATATATATATATATATATATATATATATCATACACATACACATACACATACATATGCGCACACACACACTAATCTAAAACCGGAAATTGAATAATAGCGTGCGCTCTCGAGAGAGCCTTTGAGAGAGAGTGCGCGCGCGAGCGAG